CCATCCATCCATCCATCCATCCACCCATTATCCATCCATCCATCCATTCAAACAGCCATCCATCTATCCATTATTCCTCCATACATCCATCCATTTCCCATCATCCAACTATTATTCATTCATCCATCTATCCATTATCCATCCATCAATTATCCATCCATCCATTATCGTGACCGCTTACTCCCTAATTGGGGTCGCAGACTTTGTAATTAATAAAAGTGAAGTGCCTGGTATTGTAAACATAAAATGGAACAAAAAATGTTTTCCAGGTCTGGTTACCGCTTAAAACACGTGTTTTAAACACATCTACCGTGGCTTTCACACCTTTAACTCTCCAGGGCTGCGTCCGTTGGGCGGCTCTCCGTGGGTCGGGCGCGCGCGCGTTTCCGCGTCCGGGGACGTGGCGCCCGTGACGCTGCGCGCGACGCACGCGTCTGGCCTCTGTTGTTCCTGTCAGCGTTCCCCTTTTCGGATAGAATAAGCTGCTGTTACACATTTCACAGAGCTGACAGATGGCGACCTACTGACTTTGAGCACGTCACGCTCCACGGAGCAGCGCGCGACCGCGTCACGCGGCGCAGGTGCCGCAACTTTTGAGGCATAACACGTTAAGTGTCTAAAAATGAAAGAATTTTGCTTTAAAACACGCTGTTCTTGTCATATTCTGCATGGTTGAATAGTAGAGTAATGTCAGCTTTAACTGGAACAATAAACTTGAAACAAAAATCTTACTTTTACTTTAAAATATGTTAAAAAAAAACATGTCCAGTTTCTATGACACAGACTATTTAAAAGCCTTGTCTACTGTGACTAATGTTGCTGTGAACTCATTCTGCACAGCTATTTTCGTCATGGGGTTTATTTGTGTGAATGTTGTGCTTCAAAAGTTATTTTGAACACAAAAAAAACTGCCTTATGACACTGGACGTGAGAAAGGTGAGAACCTCCCTAGGTTTTCCGTCCCCGTTCCTCTTTTCAGGGGTGTGACATGCCCACCACCTCTAAAAAATATGAGCATTTTGTCACAGACTTAGGTCACCAGTTCTCCCCCCCCCCCTCGTCGTGCTCGAAGAGTCAGGCTTTTCCATCCTGCTGCTTTTGAAAGAGGAAGTGTGACGGGGCTGTGACTGCCAAAAAACCCCATGAGCAATATCACCTTTTTGCAGAGCCCAGAGAGAAGGGGAAGTGTGAAAGAGCAGCCGGCTTCAGTCAGCACACGGCTGAGAAACGCTCAAAAAGTGGATTCTGATTCTCCCCAGCAGGTAAGGCCTCGGCCCGACGTCCTGTCTGGTGTCATTTAGTTCTCGGTTGGCTGTGTGAAAACTCTGAAAGTGGGCCGTTTTGGAATGGTCGGTTTTCTGAAACTCAGACATGATGATGTTAAAAAAGGCAGACGCTGACTCTGAAAGGGTCAAATGTGTAGAGGGATGGATTTAACTAACAGGACACTACATAGCTGGCTATATATTGTAGCTATAGGCCATTTATTTAGAAAAATCTATGTGTTTTTTTCACTTTCTTTTTCTTTTCTTTTTAACCTAGAGCAATTGATTGTTTTTTTATGGGAAAACTGTGGTTGTTAACTGGAAAGTGACTTGTTTATTAAATAAAAAGTCAACTTTAACTCTTCCTAAAGCCAGTTACTGACAGGACCTAGTTTGATTCTTCTCGTAAACAGAGACCGAAGGCAGGAAGTGCCCCTCGACACCCGGTAGTGACATTTTTTGTTAGACTTTAAACCGTCACACAGTCGTAGGAACAGAGGAAATGCTACAGATTCGAACTCGGGGGTCATTTTTGTACTGCCAACTCTAGAAATAAAGGTGGAAGAGGTGAACATTTTCCTTCATCGCAGGTCTGACCAGAAATCGGAAGACGATGGCTCAGGGCTGCCTGAACTGTCTGAAGTACACGATGTGTATCGCCAACTTCCTGTGCTTCGTAAGTCTGTCTCAGTAATCTGGCATCACACTCAGACAAGGTGGGTCCGGCTACCGGCAGGGCCTGGGGTCACACAACACACTGTGTGGAACATGGAAATGATGGCACCCACACGTTCGGTTATTTTTTTTATATAAAATGAAAAATCTGATGTCGGTAAGTCTCATTCAGAGTTTACATGCTTTGAATGGATTATTATTATCAAGCGGTGGTGTCGTTGAACTGTTTCCTTTTGTTTTTTCTACCTATACAAGTACGTCTGGCTGCACATTTTAGGAAGCCAATGATGGATATCCAACTCCGCCCACATCCAAGTCGGCCATTTTGATAACTTAACCAATAGGAGAATCCCAGGCAAAAAAATCGTAATTGCTTCATGGCAATATAGACATTAATTAAAAAATTGTTTAATTAATCTTGCAAACACTGAATTAAACTCTATACATATTATTATGTTAAAATAGTGGATGTTAAATAGGTTTGTACCATAAGTCCAAACAAGTTTAACCAAAAAATATTTATTTCTCACAATTATGAAGGATGTAGGGTTAGGGTTAGGGTCAGGGTTAGGGTTAGGGTCAGGGTCAGGGTCAGGGTTAGGGTTAGGGTTAGGGTTAGGGTTAGGGTTAGGGTCAGGGTTAGGGTTAGGGTTAGGACATAGTTTATCTTCCGATTTCGTATAGACAGTAAAGTTTAGTTTCCACCTGAGAAAGCGGCTAGTCACATGACCTAATCAAAATGGCCGACTTGGATGTGGGAGGAGTTATATATCCAACCGAGGCGTCCTACAGACTGCAGCCAGAGGCTACTCAATCTATACAGTTCACTTTAGCAGATAAATCCACAAATTTATTAGCTGTTTGATCAATCTAGAGGAGAAAAGACATGCGGAATTCAACTCTGTAAAAAAATACACTGGAAAAATATCATTTTCTGTGTCAGGAATCACGAAACTCAACATCCAAATGGTTGGATGTCATGATTATTGGGGAGCTAATTTTGTATTTATTTCATTTTTTCCCACACACCTTTTGTAAACAAACTTCATATCTTGAGTTCATTTGTCAATACGAGTTGCGTAGATATATTTGATATATTTAGGAGTCTGTTTTGGATCAGGTGAATTGAAATTGTTCTTTGGTGAAGCCTGATAATTGTTTAAATCCGTGTCCTGTCTCCCGGTAGGTGTGTGGGGTGGCGGTTCTGGCCCTGGGCGGGTACCTGATGGTGAACTTCAACTTCACGTCCCTCCTCCCCTCCTTGGCCTCCATGAACGTCCCCAAGTCGCTGCTCATCTGCGGCATCGTCATCACCTGCGTGTCCTTCCTGGGCTTCTTCGGCGCCCTGAAAGAGAACCGCTGCCTCCTCATGACGGTAACGCGCCCCCCCCCCACAGCCTAGCCCCTGCCCGCCCCCAGCTCTCTGCCAACCTGCCACACATAAGCTATGAAGTTAGATATCCACCACAGGGAGATTTATGTAGTGTACGAAAGAATTGGGGGAGGAAGTTTGGATGGTGGATCACAGAGGCTCTTCTTATTGAATGATGGGAATGTCACGGGTTCTTTTTTTTTGTTGTTCTTGAAATCTTCTAGTCCTTTCACACCTTTTAATGGATATAAAAGCGCATTCCAAAAGGTCTTGTGTAGTAAAACTATCACATGTTCGCTGAAAACAACTATTATTAATGTGCCTAAGGTCCTTTTAAACAATCTTTAATTGGAAATATCATGTTGTGTAATGGAACCTTAATGACCAAGAGGCCCTGGAAGAGGAGATCTTGAATCTAGATGGAGCCTTTGAGGATTTAAAGGAAGAAATGAAGCAACAATGAAGAATAATCAAACAAAAAAACATTCGTCACTCATCAAAACATCACCAGTTTCAAAAAGCTGTAATACTTCTTTTAATTATGTCAAGTGGTAGAAATGACATCGACTAAACTAAACTATTTGATTAGTTAAAGTATTTCTAAAATAAACATTTGGGTTTAGTCTGGTTTGGATGTAGTCTGGGGCTTACAGCATGGTAATATTTTGGCGTGTTTAGAGTTAAAACACATCATTCTGCCTGATATTAACACTATTTAACAAACATATTAGGATGAATAAAGTATATGAAATGAATGATACTAGTACTTATACTAGTACATCCTGGTGCCTATTATCAAAATGTTTTGATAATTATTTTGATTAATCCCATTATTATGCACATGATTTGATACATTTTATAGTAGTGTACGTCACATTTTGAAGTACCGTTTTATGGGAAAAGACCAATAACACTGTGATACATGTTCATTTATTTCCAATAAATATATACTTATAACATACTTATATTAGTTTACTATCTACATATTAAGATAGCAAAACAGCAGAGATCTAGCAGAGTACCGACCCCACCAAAGCATCCAAACTCTTCAAGCTTCTTTCCTCTTCTTTCAGCAGCCGAGCTCTAAAATAGGTGAATTCTGCTGAAAGATGACGGGAAATTACCCTTCCCTTCTAAAAATGTCATGTATATCGAGCGATGTCTCTGTTCCCAGAATTCAGCCGCTGAATTCGGTTTTATTTTTAGTATTAGGAAGCAGACATAAATGGCTGTGGGACAGAGACTGTATTAATTCCAGGGGAATTCAGAGTATTCAGCAGCCACAGAGGCAGGTTAGGATCAACACAAACTAAAACAGAACTAGTGGCCACATCATACCCAATAGTGCGTGTGCCATTTTATTTTTGCATTTCTAAAAATTCTAACCTAAAGTACCTGTGTCGACAGTTTTTCACGGTGCTCTTCATCCTGATGCTGGTGGAGCTGGTGGCAGCATGCCTTCTGCTCATGTACGAGAAAGAGGTGAGGCCGCCTCCGTCCACTGACGATGCAAATAAAGCAAACACATGCTAATGGCATTCCTCTGCTCTCCTTCCACCGTTGAGATATCTGAGGGAATAGAAAACGATCTCCGAAAGGGTATGAACCAAGTGAGGAACGGCAATGCAACAGATCTGAGCGAGTGGGACCTGATCCAGGAAAATGTGAGTCCCCACAACGGAGACCTGGTCTCTGCTGGACGCTAAGCCCTTCACACTCTTTTCCCCAAACTGTTTTCTTTCAGTTTGCTTGCTGTGGAATAACGAATTCCAGTGACTGGGGAGATATGGTGCCCAAATCCTGCTGCGTGAGCAAATGTGAAACCCCAAAGCCACCGTACAAGGCAAAGGTGCACAGACGATAATCTCTACTAAGACTTTTTTTTTTCATTTAATAAGATTTAATAATAAGATTTAATAAGCCACATTTTGTATATGTTTCATTTGCAGGGCTGTTTGTCCAAGCTTACCGCGTGGTTTGAGGAAAATTTCCTGATTCCAGGGATTTGTGTCATCGTAATCTGCGTGATTGAGGTAAGATGATGGAGGAGCATGGTTAGAAAAAGAAAAACAAACCTCATAAAGGGAAAAAATAAATAGACAACTAAGGCAGTTGACTTCCAAAAATATCACATTTCTGGTAGAGAATTCCTCCTGTCGCGAGGCACACATCATCCTCATCGATATGGTTTCCTGTCAGATTGCCAGAGAACAAACCTATGGAGACGTTTAGCTTCAGAAAAACAAGATCACCTCTAAAAACAAAGAGAAAAAAGCAGATTTGACCAAATGCCCCTGTGGGACTGACCATCCATTTTATTTGAGGATGCTCTTATCATATATTTTATTTCAAATGCTGATTTTAGACACAGTTCATACGTTTGTTTTAATCTTGTGATTATTTAAAAGTTGGTGTAGGGGGTTCACACACACCCTATGATTAGCAACAAGATAAGGACTTCAACTACTTTGTATTTTAAACCAGCAAATAGAATAAAAGTGTTGGACCAGAAAAGAATGTTCAGAATAATTCCCCAAAAATATGAATAAATAATCTAAGTAGTCCCAATTTGATCAACTGTATTGGCAAAAAACAAAAATCATAATTGGAGCTCATCTTTCCCCACTATCTCTGGCACAAGCAATGCCAAACTCTACTTACTTTTCCTTAAAAAAAAGTTTAAATTTGCACATTTCCTAGGTCTGACTGGTAGAATCTGTGTGTGTGTGTGTCCATGCTGTAAATAATATGAAAAGGGGAGCCTATCTGTTGGGTTATAATCCTGGCTCTTTTGCTCCTAGGTGTTGGGGATGTGCTTTGCCATGACGCTCTTCTGCCACATCAGTAAATCCGGACTGGGTTACAAGCTATAAACCCCCCCTCCAAAATGGAGTTTGGAACGGAGGTCGTTGTACAGCTCGAATTAGAAATGTTTTTTAAGAATGCAGAGAGTGCTAAAGAATCAACAAATTGTTTTCTTCATATCAGCATTATCTTCAGTATCGGTTTTAATTTGCTTTTTTGAGCTTAAAAGCAGAAGGAACCTCCATCTGCATGAACCGTGTGCAGCTCCTGAGTCTGAGCAAGGAAATGAAGCTTTGTAAATAGCCTGCTTGTTGCTTTCCGTGTATCTATTTGACAGTTTCTGAAAGGTAATGGTTTGTAAAATATGATCTTTCACAAAAATAATTGTCAGGTAACGTGTACAAAATAAATAAATGAAGTGTTTGTGGGATGAGGGGCAGCTTTTGTACCGTTCGGCTGTTCAGATGAAGTAGATTTCCTGCCACAGACGTGCAGCCTGCTGATCTGTGGTGGGGCCTCAAAAAGAACCATTTCCTCCTCTGACTCTTTAAGTCCGTGTCGGGGCTCGGAAGGCTTCACACACGACGCTCGAGACAAAGAGTAACACGGATGAATTTATTTATTTCAAGAATAAATCCTGCATCAATATTTTAAGACAAAAAAAAAAAAGCTAAAAAAATACTAAGATTTCCTTTACACTTTAAAATTATTTTGTTCTTTTTGAAACCATCACACAAAAAAATAGAAACGGGTCAAATTTTTTTTTTTTTGGGGGGGGGGGGATTAAAAAAAAATGTAACTGTACACAGCAGAATATATCATTTATTGCAAACTGAACACCCCTGACACCGCAGAAAACTATAGACAAAAGTATTGGAATTCACCTACGGATATGAAAAGACCACAATAAAGAAACTACTCTGATCCAGCTCGGCTCCTGGTCTGGGTGAAGTTTGGGTTTTTTTTCCTGTATGTCTCCGGGTGGAGCGCAGTGGGACCGGCGGGACCTTCCCTGGAGCCCCCCGGCCCTTCCTCTCTCCTCCTCGGGCGGATGCAGGGGCCTCGAGCCCCCCAAAAACGAGCCGGCGCGAGTCCCTTTGAGAGGCCGTGCACATTTGACCTAACTGGAACATGATGAAGCAACCCTGATCTGAGCCTTTCTTCCCCTCTATAAAAACAAAACAACCCATACAATTACTGTTGCTGGAAGGTTAAAAAGCAGCTTGTTAACGTGAACGATTTCATTCAGCAGCCTCAGGCCGTTCAAATACTTAAGATACACTTAGACGTGACCGAGCAGGCCGGGGCTCCGACGCGCCGCCGCCCGTCTCGTCGGTTAGCCGCCGCGGTCGTGTCGCCGCCGGCGTGTTTCTGTAGTGAGACCCCGGGGGCAGAAAGGCTGCCAGACGGTTCAGACGCGGGAGACGGGTGAGAGGGGAAGCCCTCTGGAGAGGCAGACAGACGGTACCGTGCCTTTAACGACATTCCGGGGGGGGGCAGAGGGCGCCGCGGAAACTTCAAACAACCCAAAACGTTCCCCGTAAACGTCGAATCCGTCTAAACGCAGAGCCACGGTCGCAGACCAGTTTATCTGCAAAACACACCAATAAATAAGAGAAAGACACTCTTTCCCAAAGACGGGTTCACAAATCCCAACCCAAGCCCCCCCCCACCCCGTGAGCCACTATTTATTCACCACTAGAACTGGAATGAGTAAGAAGAGTTAGGGTACCCAGCCCCGTTACACTTCAGTGTTGTACTAAAAACACCACTAAGACTCGTGTTAGCGTCCTTGTCGTCATGCTAACGCCACCTACAGGACAATAAGCCGCCATTAAAGGGGAGTGAGGAAAAGACCCGGAGCCTCGGACCTTCCCCAGGCGGTGGAGAGGAGGCCCGGCTGGCCTCGCGCAGGGACACGCGCACACTCTTTCTACAAACGCGCTCGTTTGAGCAGGAAGGAAGACGCCAGGCCGAAAAACGTCACCGAAGGACGCGGGGGGAAACGGGACACAGACGGAGACTCCGGCCTTCAGGGGACAGGCTGCTCCGGCCGGCAGAGGCTGTGAAGGAGACGCCAACGCTCCCGTACATTTCTGGCTATTCGTTCAGGACGTCCGAGGGCTGGACTTGGACCGTTCGCTCTTTTCTGGCCAGCCGGCGTGTAGCCGGAGGCGGCAGAAACCCTCCGGCGGCCACCGGCATCGTGGAGTTTACCGTTTGAATCGGGCTCACGCTCCACCTGTCCCTAACGGACAGGAAGGCGGACTGAGCCCGCGGGAATAAGGCACGGGGGGAATCCAGTAGAGAGGGGCGTGGCCTTTTTCTGATAGGCTCTGGGTGGCCACCAGCTGTGAGGACCAATCCGATTCCAGCGCGGCCCAGCACCTGCTGGTGTCCGAACCTAGCCACGCATTTTTAGTCACTTAAAACCAATCTCTCCAGCCCAGAATGGAAAAGAACACCGGCAACTAGCCCCTCCAGGGCTTGATGATGAGGCCAGACGCTGCTAAACTTGAGTTATAGCAGCCTGAAGCAAAAACAAGGACGTCACATCCATCGTTTTTGTCTTTGAAACCATTCTGTGGCTTTTAGTTGATCAAAGACGCCCCCAGCTCTACTGATATAAACTTATTGGGGACTTACGAAAAAAGTGGTCACAACAACTGGAGGCGTCCTAATCGGTAAGTTTATGACCAAGCAGAGGACAAAGAGGTCTAAATGTCTGCGTTTGCATTTGGATGTGAACCCACAGACCAGTTTTCAGAACTGAGAACTCCCATAGGGAAACTGACCCCTTTAAGAGAAGCATTTCTCACTTCTGAGGAATAAAAAAAAGAAAAACATTCCTTTTTTTTTTTTTTGCAAGTGTTTAATAAAAGGTAAATCTCTATTTTTCCTTTGTCCTCCGCCTCTCGGCACAGCTCTGTGTCTCTGAAAGCCTGAGCGTCATCTCACATCTATACGTCTGATCTAGTTAGAGTCCTGGGACGTGGAAATGTTTCCAAAAAATAGTAAAAACTCTACAAGACTGGGGGTTCCTATTAAGACTTGTTTCTAAACACGGTCTCAGTGACGCTGCGTCGTGTGGAAAAAGTCAGAGAGCTGATGGCGAGACTCGGGCCGGCGGCTTTCTGGCTGTTTCGGATCGTTTAGAGTTCTGGCGCGTCGGCCACCGTGCTCCTCAGCCACCGTGCTCCTCAGCTTTCTGACCGTTTCCAGCTGAGAACGGCCAACACAATTGTCAGAAATGAGAGGAAAAAAAAAATTCCTATTTTCCTCTAAATAACCGTGGAACCTTCCAGACAACCAGTGTGTAGAAAAACAAAACAAAAAACAACCAATAAACAAAGCAACATAAGTCAACCTGGACTAGCTCAGCTGACCGGTACGGTATGTATCTGACCACAACCCCCCGCCAGGTCTTAGTTTGAAGGAAAAGAGGGGCGATGATCAGATTAAGCAGGTTACCGCTGATCCGACTCTGTCCGAGTCCTGAATCTCTGGGTGGATGGAGAGGAGGCCGGGGGTGGGGGTCTGTGGTTACAGCCAGCTGTGGCCTCTCAGGCACAGGAATGCAGTGGTTTTGGTGACAGCCCCCACCCCCCCCACCCCAGCTGGGGGCTTACAGGGGCATCAGCCTGGTGGTGTGAAACAGGAGCGGGTTCAGGTCCTCGGCGTGGACGGCCCGATGGAGCGACGGCTCCGAGCGGCTCCGCTCGATTTTTGGCAGCAGGTCCTGCACCTGCTCGATGGCCACCAGGATCTGAGCACGGGCAGAGGGGGGCAGAAAGACCGTTAACACGAGAAAGCCCAAAGAACCTTGTTGGAAAAGCATGGTTATGACCTTCTCTCAGCTCAGAAACTAGGACCCGTATGATATCTGGTTGTTCAATAGGTTTTCCTAAATAAAAGATTCAGATACGACTTATCAATATATTCCTGCAAAAAGGTCAGCCTTTATCCAGTCTCATGTACAGGGGCTGGTCATATCACAGGTTATTTGCATTACAGTAGGGACAGTTAGCGAGGTAGAGTGAATAAACAAACTTGAAGAGGGGAGGGGGGCTTGCAGGAACACTGAAATTCTCTGGGACTTCTAGTCCAATGCCTCCTGACTACCTCCAGTTTCCCCTTCTCAGGCCAGCCCGGGCTTACTGCTGGGGTACGGGGGGGCATTCGGCTCTACGTACCTGTGGGAACAGGGGCCTCTCATCACGCTTGAACTTCAGACAGTCGACGATGAGCCTTTTCATGGACTTGGGTGAGGTACTGGACAGTTTAGTGAGATCCGGAGACAAGTAACCGCGGCCGACCATGAAGATTATCTGAAACACACAAATATGGAGGAGACGGTTACCACATGACTCACACAATATTTGACTAATTTCTCTGGTGCGGCTGGTTTTCTTTTTTCAAATTTCATGCGTGTACAGAATGGTGAAATAAACACATGGAGGTGTTTGTGGGAATTTGCAATTATTGAATAGCCAAACAAACTATTTGGAGAGAAGGGTCCAAAAACACAAACCAAAAAGGGCTGAGCAGGTACTATTGAAAAAGCCCCATAAGAGACCAAAGGTGACCCTAAAGTAGCTGGAAAGCTCCACAGAAGGTCCTGGACAACTGAAGGTGGACCAGGACACACACGCACACCAGAGCAGAGCTGGGCATCAGAACAGAGCGGCCAGAATAATTCACATCCACACCCAAAAATGAAGCCCGGTGGTGGACAGACAGGAGAAGATGTCAGAGCATCAGCACACAACAAAAGAGAAGGAAACAGTGGGTGGAAACAGCGTTTGTGATCCAACTAAGGAAAAGACCTATCCATCAGACAGAGCGAGCCAGAGAGCACAGAGCGATCTCCCCAAAAGCCGTAGAGAAGCAGATTTGGTCTGCAGCCGATTAAAAATCGGAAACGCAAGGGCTGTCAAACATACGGATAAGAGTACTAAGTGTTGAATTTTCTCTTTTAATGAATCTTCGGCTGGCTTTTCAGTTGGCATCTCATGCTGTCTGAAAATGAAGGAGAGAAAACGCCGAAAGGCCCCCGTTCTACTTCCTACAGCCATTCTAAAAGCTGGAGCCGGACTGATGGGGAACACAGTTTATAATTAGGGAAGTACATGGCTCCAAGAATCCGAGCCGTCAGACAAACCAGAGGAGCAGAGACATGTTTTCAACACCAGTATAACACCTTAAGGCACCCTTTACTCTGCTGAGGCTTATTCATTAAGCATGTCCGTTTTGTTAATTTCTTTTCAAAACGAAAAAACTGGATGAACATCCCCGAGTGGTGGAGACCGATACAGCCTTAATAACAGACGCCCGACGGGGGAGAAGCCCCAGAGAGCCCCGTCTGCTACTCTGCTTCTGATGGGTTTGTTTTAAGGCTCGCTTTGGAAGGAGGAGGACATCCATCTTTTTCATCTACAAACATTTTCCTGCAGACTGAGGAAGTCGAGTCAAACAAAGAACGGGAGGCATCGGACCTGGTCTCTGTTGTTGATATTGGAGTAGGGCAGGGTTCCTGACATGAGCTCGAACAGCACCACGCCGTAGCCGTACACGTCCGACTGGAAGGTGTACGGGTTGCTGTCCTGCATCCGGATCACCTCTGGGGCCTGAAGAGGACGAGAAAACCAGGAGTTAGTAAAGTTGGTCAGCCACTCCGGCCCGGGTGACCGGTTCTGCCGCCGACAGACTGAGGGGGGGGGAGCGAGGGGGTGCCTACCATCCACAGAATGGATCCGCTGGGCTGCTCCACCTGCTGGGAGCCGCTCCACCGAGACTTCACCGTGGCCAAGCCGAAATCGCCGATCTTCACCGTCCAGCCCTCGTGGAGGAAAATATCTGAGGGCGGCGCTCAGGAAACGTCCCGAACACAGAGCTGGTGTGGTCAGTGGTCACCTCAGACACCAGGAGACAAAGAGAGGCAAAAGGGGCTTTCCCGCCGGTACCGACTCAGCACGGCTCTGCTCGTTTTCTTTTTTAAGGGGGGGGATTTCCATTGTGGATTTGTCCTTAATTTTTATCATGTGCTTGTGTCACATGTAAATGAAGTCACCGGGCAGGACGCTCCGCCTGTCCTTCTACCCCTAAACTGAGTCGAGGTGAGCAATGGCCAACCTGGCAACAAGAAATTTCTCAACACTAACTAGCAAGACCAGGAAATTCCCCAGCTCCTTTTTTAAGTTGCTTAATATTTTCAATCTTCACATGATAAATCTCCCTAAATTCTCCCTGGAGATAATAAAGTACACAATAAAGTATACTCAATATTCAATAAATGGACAACACGTGTGGTTCTAGAGAACAGAACTGTTCAACCATCTGCTTACCGACTTGTCTGTTTTATATAAAAATGAAAAAAAAAAGCAAATACTCTGCCTTCCAGGAAAGCCTTAAATAGCAGCAGAATATCTCGGTCAAACTACCAAATGTGGTTACTGGTTACGGCTACAGCTGCCTGAGCTTCAGAAACACCCCCACCCCCCCACCCCACGCAAGGAAAGGATACTGTTTGACTTCAGATCTCGATGAATGATGTTCTTTGCGTGAAGATAACTATTAGAGGCAAAAATCATGTGTAGAAAAAATTCATTAACCATTGACTGCATTGAAATTAGGAAAATATACATGTATTGAATCTTACTGGGTGCTAGACCAAGAGTACTAAAAAATGACACATAGTGAGTGGGAATTGTAAAAGGGAATCTTACTCCATGCCCTGGGCCGTCTGTCTGGCCACGTCAATGCGACGCATAGTGTCAAACTTGGTTTCCGTCACATGCAGATGGCGGTACAAGCTGCTGCCTTCACACCACTGTGTGATAATGGCAAAGTTGGGCTTAGTCATGTAGCCCATGAACAGCAGGATGTTGACGTGGCGGGTTTTTCTGCAGAGCACACGAGTGGAAAAGTGGTTAGAAATTCCATGATCTGATCAGCAGATTAGGGTGAACTTCAGTCTGTACTTAAGAGGTAGATTTCTATGGCATGATAAGGGTGTGAGTCAAAAGGATTTCACTCATCATAAAAGTCTCTTTAGAAGATGAGTGGAGTCAATATATATATACACACACATATATATATATACATATATATAATCTCTGGGGGAAAAAAATGCTTACCGTAAAACCTGCATTTCATTTTTGAAAGCCTGTAACTGCTCAGGTGTCGGCTCTTTAACTTTAAGGATCTTGATTGCCACGTCTCCATGCCACTTGCCCTTAAAGACTGTTCCAAAGGAGCCGGTACCTATTCTCTTCTGGATGTTGACTTCTTTCGAGTGGACCTCCCAGTAGTAACTCGAGTCCCTATAGCCTCCTCGGTGCTAAAGAACAAACAATCAATCAATTAATCCATGTCGTCTGGGCTCCAGCCAGTTTGCAAACGGGTTTTTCTGTTTGTCCACTAAACTCTGAGTGCTCTGCCTGACGGGCACTGGCCTGTGCAGGACGTCGAAGAGTACCCACCACTTTTTTTTTTTCATCAGATGAGCTCTGTTTGCGCTCCTTGTGCTCAGAGGGAGACTTCGGTGGCTTCCTCCCAGGGGAGCCGAGGGTGGAAGGTGGGCTGGTGGAGGGTTTCGGTGAGGGCTCAGGACCTGTGGAGATGAACGGGGATTAACTGCGGTGTGACAGAACAGACAGAATACTCTGGAACTCAGAACGGAGAGGAATGGATCTGTACCTATAGTAGCGAATTTCAGTGCTTCCTGGAGAGAAGAGCAACAGTGTAATCAATCAATCACTCTTTAATTTGAAAGCACTTTTCATACAGTGTTTTAATAAAATAACTAGAAAAATTATGAATTCATTAGAAGTTTTCTCACAAGAAACAATAAAAAAAACAGGGCACAAAACTGACCTCAATGATGCTGACACTTGCGGCGTCCACTGTGCTGACCATGTGCACGTTGGGAGTGGAGGTGGAGCGATGCCTCTGCAGGGACTGGCCGTCTCCACCTGATATGGGAAAGTGGAAGGTAGAGGGCGGGGACAGGAGGTTCATTCTGAGAGATGGGAGCAAAGCAGACGGTCATGGTTGGGGTCTGTGGGAGCTCTGCTGCTGCCAAAGGTACGGCCTGGTGTGGGGAGCTCACCCGGCAGGCTCCGGGGTTAAGGCGAGGTTGCTCTGTGAGGGGGAGTGGTCTGGCACTAGTATCTGAGGAAAGTCATCGGCCGAACTGTGATCACACCTGTCCGACAAAGAAAAGGGTGATGAGACACGATCTGTTCACTCGGTCTCAGAGCTTCAATTCAACAAAAACCTACACACCCTGTTGGTCCACTACTGTTTATTTAGCGGTTCAAACGTCATGTCAGGCCTTCTGGTTCATCACGTCACACCACAGTCGGCGTGTTGTTCGTTCTCGACTGATTATGGGGCTAACTGCGCCCCTTGAGGGTATTGGCTTTACTTTTACTTCTCGTTTTGAAAAGGTAGGTCATTTTTGGCAAGGCAGATCTCGCAAATGTCTAGTCACTCAAATGTAACCTGTTTTTTTTTTTCTTTTTACAATCCCGTGTCGATAGAAGCAGATTTTTCTTTTTTATTGCATTGTGATGCATATAGGAGTAAAGTTGATCTTTGTATTTAAAACGTGTATTTATGTCTTCTTTAGGATTTCTTTGCAATTTGGTTTCGATGGTCTAAAAAAACTTAATTACAACATTTTACTTACACTGCAAAGACATGATTGGTTGAAAACCTATAAAACCAATTTATTATAGATTTTAAAAAACATTATCTGATCTGATCAAGGTAAAAGTTTAAATAAAAAAAGAGGATGCAGGGTCTCAGGATGATAGGACAGGATTTAAACCCTCTTCTCAAATAACTGGATTTAGATTTTCTATCTCAATTTGTATTCTTCTTAAGGCATAGAGTGATTCTATTGGCAAAAAGTTATAAAGACCAGTGCAGGTGAAGAGGAGCTCAGTATTTTAACTGGGAAAAACTGGAGAGTACCTCCTGTTAACCTACTAATGTCAGGGCCAAGGTTTTAAAGACCCACCTTTTGCTCACTGTGTCCATGTCAACACACACTGTGGGAACCTTGCTGCTGCAGTGCTGGTGGAATTTGTAGCCACAAGTCTGACATCTGAAGCCATTAAAAAGAAACTTGTGGCAGAAATCACAGTAAGCCAGCTTGAAAAACGTTTTCCGTACCTGCAAAAAAACAAAGAGGACACAATGAGTATAGCGGTGGTTTTTCTTTTCCAAGCTGCTGAATGGCTGGCATGAGTGTGAGTTCCGTACATAGTTGTGCATTGTGAGAGGAATATCATCTAGGACCTCGACTAAAAGCTCCTCTCCAACCAGAGGAGTGATGTCTGTGTCCCAGTCTGTCAGTCTCTTACGACTAGAACGGTGCAAAAAGAAGAAAGACAGCAAATAGACATTTTAGTTTTCTCCACAATAAATGGTTGAACTCAGAAATACTAACTAGTGAGTCCAATTCTTTTTATGACCCAAAATGCTAAACAGCTGGTACATTTTGTAGATGTAAACATAGACTAAATGCAGTGATTTGCCTTTTGGCAAAGAATCCCATAATCCCTCAGGGTCACCTCCATTAAACCACCAGTGACATCACCAATGACATAATGTATGTAATGTTGGGTGATTCTGCTGGTTTGTTTCTATTTTAACAAGTATAGCATAATAAAAAAAGATATATAGTTGGTATAGTTAAAGGATTTGAATTAAGATAGAACTTGGAAAACCTATGACAATGTTTGTGTGATGGATAACTTGTTTAAAAAGCTAATAAGCAACGGGTCAGCAAGACAAATACAGAAGAGGAGCATCTCTGAGAGGCAGTCAGAGACAAATAAGGAATCCTAAATGATAAAATAAGATAATCATAAGTAAGGTCCCTCATAGGTACTTTACTTAGCGACTCGGTGTGTGTTTGCAGAATCAAAATGTGTGTTTAAGTCTTTATATAAGCAGTTCACAATATGAGGAGGGGGACATCGTCTATGTAGACCGTGAGAAACACAACCCATAATCCTTTGATGTTGTGAGAGAGCACACAGCAGACAGGAAGATCTTACCCCTCCAGGAGGCGAAACACAGCACAGCAGTCTTGGCTTAAGCCTCTCACTTTGAGGGCTTTATTTAGACTCTCGTACACAGTCTGTCCCTGGCGGACATTAACCTGATGAAACAAACAAACAAACAAACAGACAAACAAACAAACAAACAAAAAACATTTAGGAGCAAGTTCCACTTTCAGATTTCATGCATGAAGCAAAAATGATACCCAGCATTTCATCCAAGTAGAGGGGAAAGATTTTGATTTTTTAAAACTCAAATAATAAAGCCGCCTTCCTGTCCTGATCAGAACGAAGCTCTTATACAGAACATGACATAAGATATTTCCCCATTATGTCCTGCTCCATATCAAACATCCTGATGGAATTGGACAGATCCAGCATGGCTGATCATGTCACAGTAAGACAAGAATGCACATTTAAAACAGGAATTACACTCAAATATTTTAAAATGTTGGAGAACCGAATTGGTTTAAAGCTTTAAAGTTAATGCACGACACAGTGGGGATGAGTAAAGACACCTCTCTAAAGAAAACATTGCATATCAACTCTTACCATCCATACAGTGCAGTTTTCCACATAATTACACAATGTGAAGACATTTCCAAAAGGGCTATGCTTTTGTGAGCAACATAGTCTAAACTTTCGGTTACACTCACACCAAATAACAGGACTCATAAATGCCGTGACTGGCAGGTAATCATGCATTTCTTTCTCCTCCACATAATTTTAGCCCATAGTTTGGAAGCTAAAGGTGGGCACAGGAAGCAGATATCCACGCTGGTCCAAGTTCAGGCCATCCAGGCCAACATTACAGTTGGATTTATAGCTAGATATTTGGGTCATTTTGTAATTGTTCTTTAGGTTTAATCACATGCAATGTTTAAAAATCCGTTGCTATAATTTAAGAGCAACACTGCAATAATGCTGACCTTTTGGAACTGTGTTTATCTTTATGCATTTAGCAGAGTCTTTGATCCAAAGCGACTAACAATGTCGCTTTGGATCAAAGTAAAAGTAATAAATAACTATGACTTTGTGGGTAAAAAGTAGTCCATCTAAAAAGACAGTTGTGTTGAGGTTTCACGTTTGTGTTCTTCTGCTGAGGCGTTCAACTAAGTTTTTCAATCAAGCTGACAGGTAAAGCTGTAGGTGGATTTGTTCTCTTGGAGGGTGTTGTTTGGAATGCATTAAACTTCTGCAAGGAAAAGCTTGGAGACAGGCCAAGCAATTTTACCAGGAGACACCATTAATGCTCTCCAGACTGCTTTTCACAATCACTTAGGTGGCGATTTAGCTTGATGACACAATAACAGGACAATCTAACAGGCATTTTCCAGAGTATGGGAACACGAGGCTGGAGTCTGATATGAACGCGGGGTGCCAGCGGGCGCCATCTGTGGAACCTGACGCCAACTGTTCAACAGTTAACTCACTGAACTGTTATGGAACATGACACATTTCGTGTGAACAAAGAGTGGTCATTATTTCCAAATCAAATGGCAACTGTCACCTATGCCCTATTCAACTCACAGTCTATTTATACTTTTGATTAGTTGGATGTTTCATAATTGTATTTTTTCCTTGTGTGTCAAGACCCGATCAAAGGAAGAACACAGCCAAAAATCTTACCACTGTCCTCTGTTTGTTGGGGAGGTAGACACGAATTGTACCCCCACCTCGGGGTACATCCTCTGGACTGGTCTCCCCTGAGGAGGAGTACGAGGAAGAGGTGGAGGACATGATGGCAGGAGGAGCTGGGGGAAGGGGGGAGGGGGGCACAGCAACAAGACACTGAGTCCTCAGGAGAGCTTCATGCACTTCGGGGTCCACATGAGCCCTTTATTTAGAACCTGCAAACCACACAAACACAATACAGTTTAGACACAATACAGTCCTCGTATGCTTTGACTTCAGCAGCAAAATAGTGGGTAGTGGACTCAATTATTTATTATTTAAATCACTTCCAAGAAGGCATGGTGCCTCTTCCAAGCAGCATGGACAAAAATCACAGCTTAATCTGGCGTTCAGTACAACAGACTAAAATATTCTTAGCCTCATTAAGAACATAACATGCATACATTTATTTCTGATTAACCAACTACACCAAATAAAATCCATGCCCTTCATGGACGTTAATTCATTCTTCCATACACTTTTTTTTAAGAAACTAACGAGGGGTGAGTCAACTTGAAGAAAACACGAGCAACATAAGAAAATAATGTGGATAAATACATTTATTTCATATAAGGTCCAGAAATCTTACTGTGTGAGATATGTGACAGCGTTAATTTGGGAATGGCGATCCAAGCCACTAGCCCGTACCGGCTATTAAAGCTAGCTTAAATTTCTGAGAACTTTGCAATAAATTAAGACATGTTTATAAAGCGAATAAATATTGATAGAATGGCTGCCCAAACAACTGCTTATTGCTCTTAAATAATACAAAAAAATACATAACAGACCAAACGTTGAAATAATGCTAAATGAAAACGTTTAGCGTCAAAATAACAACCCACCAAACTAACCATATACTCGCACGATGCTAATGCTAGCAGACTTTAGCTCGTTTACTTAGCGTAGGATTTTCCTGCAATTCAATTTGACATTTCGAGTTTTGGGAGGCCGTGATAGTGTTTAGGTTGCGGTTATTCAACTTTACCCAACTAGCCACTAACTTTTCAATGCATTTTAATTGACTTAAATAACAACTGTCATGATGGGAGTACAATGTTTGCGATGCAAAGTCAGTAAAGCTTTGGCAAAATCCACTCATTTCGACTTGCCAGCTTGCTAGCTGCGTGCTGACTTGTGTGACAGAGGAGATTATCCGGCTACCTCAGTGACTAGCTTACTTAACTGTGATATGCTTTGAGGCTAGTGCTAGCCGGCTAACGCTAGCCAACCTGGGGGGGGGGTTCACCACGGCGTCGGATTGTTGGCTACTACTACTGTCTTCTCCCCCACGCAGCGTTCAGCTGACACGCGTGAAACGACACGAACGAGACGCCGCCAAGCATTTATCCCGACACCGCCCGACTCCGTAGCCTTTTTTGAAGCGGCTGGAGTCTAAAAGTTAAACGCTTACCTGTAGCAGCCATTTTGAATTCTCTCAATCTAAAGTCGGATCTGTCAAGAACTTCGGAGAAAGCGGAAAACCTCCGCGGTGCTCCGTCCCCATTGGCTGGTTCTCGGATCTGCGTTCTGGAGGCGGATAAATACCGGCTGGCTCTGGAGTAGTGGGCGCTGCCAGCAAGCTCATCCTTTAAACAATTACTTTCTGGAACACACCTTACAGCCCACCTGTTATGTCTTCATTTACGGAAATATATTTTTTTCAAAGTATAATAAAAAAAAAAAAAAACTAATTAAAACCAATGCGTTTGCATATTTAATGTGATACATGACCTCCCCCCCCCATTAGTGGTCAAACAATCAAGACAAATCAAATTTGTGGAGATAATTTTTTTTATTATAAAACAGAATAACAGAATATACAGAGTACAATATGGATCTTATTAACTGCTCAGTTTCAGTGAGAGTTATAGTCACATAATATGGATATTATGCAGTTTATTTTGTGGAAATTCCCTGGACAAATCTCAGTCCACCGTATGACATAATCTGTTGTTTCCGATCACTCTTCCTTCAGTTTGTCCTACTGCACACTGAGAAACCTCCTCTTCTTCGCCGTGTGCGTGTACGCATGGTGCCGCCACTCGATGTCTGCGGTGCCCTCGTTCTCCAAGGTGCCAAGTTTGATCATGTACACTAAACGGAAACAGAGAAACGACAAAAAAGTATAATGAGAACACAAAAGCAGCACAGGACAGAACTGAATTCCTTTTTGTACTTTGAACAATTTACTCTTCTGGTTTGATTTATAAACAGACATGAAATTTGTTCCATATTTTATCAGTGTAGCCTGTAGCGTTACTCTTCTCTTTATTTGAAGCCATTCTTAAACCTCAGAAAGAAAATGATGCTTCATGCTAACAATAATCTGACAGAAGCCCCCCTGACATGTTTTCGGAGGCAGCTCTTGTGGAAACGTGGTTTGTTGGTGTTGCTGCTTTTGCACGTCATGCACAGCGTGGTCTGAGGGGATGCGCTTCTCTCAGAGTTCCACCCGCAGAACAAACTCCACCCGCAGAACAAACTCCACCCGCATAACATACTCCACCCGCAGAACTTGGGGTTCAAACCCACTTATCCAGTCATACTTACGTTTCATTTCAAACCTGGGTCCTACTTCTGTTAGCTCTATGTTCTTGTGGTCCGTTTTCTTGTAGGTGTGGTGCCTATTTAAAAGAAGAAGAAAGAAAATGATTACGTATTTTTTCATACACAAGTATAAAAATGTGTCATTTTTAGATAAGAGGCTAATGTCGCACAGACCTGAAAGAAATAAAGTCTTCCTGGTTAGCGAAGGTGATTACGCGCCTGCTGTCGTCCTTCGGCACGGGAAAAAGATACTTGAGGATATTTGACACCTGTGCGAGCAGAAATAATTAGCGGTACGCACAAACGAGCGGTGGAAAAGAACATGGCGTGCGTGCCGGCTCACCCGCTTGCCCAGCCGCGAGCTGAAGTTGTGGAAAATGAGGTGGGGGTGGGCCTCCGACATGGTGCCTATGTCGGGGACGTCGTGCCTCATCACCACGTTGTAGAGGGTGAAATAGGCCGTGGGCCCGAACGGCAGGTGGCACACCACCAGGCCATCTGGGAGGGAGACGGGCACACAATCAGCCAAACGTCCAGACGCCGTCCACAAAGCCCAGCCGCGCGGCTTCGGCCAATCGAGGAAAACCTAAGCTGCTTTTGTGTACGGTCTTAGACGGCTCTTACCGGGCTGCCCTCTGGTTTCGTGCAGGATGACGAGGTCCGACACGTTGTTGGCTTTGCAGGCCCGCACCAGGGCGGCGATCTCGTGGTTGCCTCTGTTCATGCGCTGGGCCCCCGGAAACATCAGCTTGACCTCCTGAAGGAGGACACGCGCACAAAGCAGAGCCGGTTATTCGGAAGTCTCGTTTCAACATGTGGGGAGCGGCACAGAGAAGCCATTTCTGTCCTCTAACCACTGAAACTGAGCTGTGTTTGACGACTAATTACTCACTAATCTAACATTTTTAAAAGACTAAACAATCTTGTGTTTCTGTTTTTTGTTTGGCTGCTTCAAGCTAACTAACTTGTATCGTCATGCTGCTTTGGTAGTTAATTCACCAAATTTCATAGAAGTATTCCAAAATTGTGGTCTTCAGTGGCCCTCGTGAACATTTTAATCCTTAACGTTTGACATTCGGCTACCACCATAGGCAAGGCAAGTTTATTTGTATCGCACATTTCCTGTACAAGACAATTCAAAGTGCTTCATAGCAAATTTAAAAGCAGAAAAACAAGAAAAATAATAAAAAATGAGACAGATGAAAAGTGAAGGGTACAGATAAATTACATTCAGTTTTCATATGCACATTTATGAAATATGCACATATGCACAGTTAAACAGAAGCGTTTTCAGCCTGGATTTAAATCCTGACAGAGTTGAGGCCTGTCTCAAGCCTTCAGGGAGACTGTTTCAGATTTTAGGAGCATGGAACTGAAATGAAGACCGTACAGGTCAAACCGCATGCCTTTCACCCGGGCTGTTCCAGATGAGGATCAGAATGAAGAGGAGCGGCTGCCGGCGGCTCAAGTTTCACCACTGTGCTCAGAGAACGCTAAACAAAAGGCCGTAAGTGATCCCAGGAAGGTCCCTCTTGTCTGTCTCTGTCCCGGGAGGGGGGGGGGACTCACCTTGGCAAACATCTTGAGTCTGGAGCTGGGGTCCCGGGAGGTGGTGACCATGACTTTGGGGTCCTCCACTCCGGCCCACTTGTACTCGTCATCTATGTGGGAGCTGACACCTGCGCACACATTTGGACAGAACCCCCCCACCCCGATGAGCTGATCAGCCGAAGCACCTTTAACGCCCGACTGGCAGCACGCCGCCATCGGCGGGGGGGGGTCTACCAACCTTCTGCCCCATCATCGTCGAACTCCAGCAGCTTCTGCAGCTGCAGGGCTTCTCTGCGCACCTCGGTGGGAAGCAGGCGGTTTTCTGCGGGAAAGAGGAGCCGGCAGGGGTTATGGCGGGGGTTTCAGGGCAGAAACTGACCATGTTATTGGACCAAACGGAGTGACCGTACCCTCAAGCGCTCCCTTCAGCTTCTGTTTCTTCTCCTCTATCGTCCTCAGCCGGTCCTCCTGGGCCTTCCGGTACAGGTACTCCCGCCTCTGTCTCACCTCTCTGCGAAGCTATTTGCAGAAAAACGGTGTGAAATGGTAAAAGTTGACAGATTGTGAACAGCTTTTAGCCCTCGCACTGCTCTCACCATTTACTATTCGCCTCTTTGTCCTACCGGGATACATTTTTCTGTGGTGTAAAATGATTACTTTTATCATTTCACCTTTTCAGTGTATTTCTTTCCAACACATTATTATATATCTTACACTTATTGTCTTTAACGCTGCAACATATCCAATCCTTTAACTTTTTAATAAAAGATGAAACTGGAAAACACGGGGTGGTAGGTCAACCGGGAGATTTGAAGTTGAATTTCCATATATTAATTTTTTAAATGTCAGCAGACAGTCACACCTCTTGTCCTCCAGAGTCTGACGTTTTTCAGGCAGTAACATGCAAAGATAAAAGCCATGACATCCACTTTTGAAATGGGTGAAGCTGATCCGAAGAGCACAGGTGATGGGACATTTACAAAGCGAATAGAAACTGATGGATTAAATCTAACAGTTTATTGTTTTGCATAATTTAATTCAGAGAGAAATAGAGAGAGTCCTCTGCAATCGTTAGGCATGGGAATGAGTGTATTCTTAGCTGTCAGGATACGTTCAGTACTGATGTGTCCCTCCATATCAAGTCTGTGAAAAGGTATTTTCTAAAGCAGGTGAAATAATCTAAAAACAAAAAAGAAACTGCCTGAAGAAGTGGAGAAGTTGTGTTTAAATAACAATGAATAAAATGCCGACTGTGTCAGCACACTCAAAAAATAAGTAACAAGCATTTTGACCCTGTCATTGTATCATACAGACAGACACCATATAAAAGCCATATAAAGAGCCATAGATTCTTTATAATCCCACAGCGTTTTTTACATTTATTGTCCACTTGATGGCACAACAGAGCAAAAAATTAAGTGAGTGGAGCAATTGGATAGAAGGCTTCAGTGTTTTATGAAGTTTCAGCTCGCCATCATTGATTAGCAAAGGAGAATTTGACCATACGGTGTCAGTTTATCTTCAACGAACACGCAGGCGGCCATCTTTGTTTTGATTCGCCAACCCGAGTCAGACGCCCGGAAATAAACGTATTCCACAATTATTTGAAGATAGAAATAGCAGTGCATTTAAACACTATCTAAGAGAGTTTAGATAGATTAATAGAATTCCTTTTCTACGACATGTTTCATGTCTGGCGAGTTACCGTTTAGGAAAAGCTAGGTTTAGCTTAAGATATCTACAAATGATAGAACACCACGGGGGATATAGAGACTAACATTAGCGCTATCGAAGCTAATAAACCCTCATATCCTGATTAAACCACGACAACATTAAACAAGCAGGAAATTCTACATTTTACATCACTTACCATGTCTGTAGCTAACTTGAGGGCACTCACATGGAGAAAGAAACGCTTTCCAAACAAGGCTCTTCCTCATTGGCTAACACATTGGCCAATGAAAGCAGTCGATACAGAGGTCCTTTTTTTTCTCCTCTAAAATAAAAGCTTGTGACTAATTGAACTGTTGTGTTTCTGTGACCCTGTTATGGACTGGCGAGCTGTCCAGGGTTTAACGCTTATAATGTGCGATATTTACAGTTTTTACCCTATAATGTGCAAGAGTTTTGACCAAAAATGTGCAATATTCACACACATATGTTTAGCTATTTATTTAGCTTCATTTTTATTTCTGCAATGCACAAACACCCAGGACTGTACAACTTACTTCCAATGTTTATATTGTATATATTTTTTACAAACTGATATTTCAATATTTCTACACTGTTTGAAATCGGCTTGACAATGAAAAGCGTTCTGATTCTGGTTCTGAAAAATGTAAAATCAGAACACTGAAATTGTCCCTTCACTTCTTTTTGACAATTAGTAGAAGAAATTGGATGAAACCACTTTTATTTAACATTAAAAAAAATATTAAAACTACTCCTAAAAACACAAAAGAAATGTTTTTATTGATGGAAATCTTTTTCTGGCGGTTGAGAAATATAAAACCACCTTGTGTTTTTTTAGTTACTAAGAGATGACTGTGGGTACCCTTGTAAAAATCCATTAACTGCAGACTAAACAAATTAGGCTTCAGTTTATGGAGCGGGCTTGCAGAACTTTACGAGCTGAAGCATGCAGCCGACTGACAAATTACAGGCTCAACTAAAAGCCGCCAGGTGACACAATGTGGAAATGATTCCAAAACCCCTTCAAGAAACTGCCTCGACATGCATAACCAAGAAAAGATTCCAAAAAAATTAAACAAGCATGAGGCAACATTATAAATTTCAATGTGTATCGAAAGAAACAAAAAGCAAAATGAAGAGGAACTTGATTTTGTAATCAAATTGAGGAATTTAGCAAAAGGAATTAGTTTTTTTATTTTATTTTAAAGCAACTCCTGAATAGCATAAAACAAAGGGAAAGTTGTCTAAAACACAAACCCCCCACTGGACACTTGGTTTGGTCCAAAGTTACAAAAAGAAAAAGCCTGAAGAAAACAAGCCCATTTCCAATCACGGATGAGTTCATTTTAGGTAAAGCGTCATGGGAGAAAGCAGTCATCACATTTAAAGTCAATCTAAAGGTGTACATTCAAACTTTTCTCAAAAAATAAATAAAAAAGGGGTTTGTGATTAGATGAACCTAATGGGGTTGGTGTGCTGCTGTACCCTAAAGAGATATGATCTATGATCACGAGTGAAGTCTATATCTCAAAGAATTCACACTTAGATAAAAGCTTTCATCTGGAATACAAACCTATTTATAATTTTACTCATTTATAGCCGTGCTTTTAAAATGGATCATTTTAGGCTCTTTTAGAAAAGAACGGTAAAGGTAAAAGCAAACTAGATCAATCCATGAGATATAAAAAGCCTTGGGACGGATAAGATCTGAGTGGTACACGTTTCCTGGAGTTCAGAAACTTAAAAAAAGCCTCTCTTCCTCTGTACACTTCCTGTTATAGCTTTAGACCTGAACAACAACCTGCTGGCACGAGAAATATGCGTCCTCTCATGTTGACGTTACTCTGTACTATAGGTAAGTGTCCTAAAACCGGCCAATGTTTGGAACAGGACTGCTTAACTTTACAATCTGGGTTAAAGTATTAGGTAAAAATGACGACAAAAACACAGGTCATGACAGAACCTTGCAGATTTTGTTTCGTTTTATGACTTTGGAATGGAATTCTCAGTAAAAAAACATAAAATGTGACCTGTTCTGGGGTGTGTCCAGGTGTTGGAGAGGCGGTGTTCTGGCAGAGGCTGACCTGCCCCGTCCAGGAAAAACACGGGGGCCTGCTGAGGGTCTGGTGCCGGCGGAGCTCGGACCAGTGCTGCCAGGGCCTCAGCTTCGGCCAGAACGCCAGCGGGCTGGACGGAGGCTGGCTGGACGGAGACCTGCTGGACGGAGGCCCGCTGGACGGAGGCCCGCTGGACGGAGGCTGGCTGGACGGAGGCCCGGTGAGGGTCACCCAGGATGACCGGTCCTTCTCCGTGGAGCATCTGGGACCGGGTCCGAGAGGAGTCTACTGGTGCGGCGTGCTGGGCACAGACAAAACCCTCATCAAGCTGGCCGAAGCCTACTTCCATGGATGTAAGTCATGAAGTCATTATTTGATTTTTTGGGGGGGGGAAAACCAGTTCAGGGGACTCTCATATTTGCGTTTCAAATGGCAGATTGCTCAAATTCCTCTCAGAAAAATGTTTTTGAATCAACTCCAATAGCACGGCTTTGTTGGTTGTGTGGTAAAAATTTAGATTATGACAGTAAACCCAAAACCACAGATTGTGGACAGATTATTTCTGAATCTCAGAATGGTGCCTTTAAACCCGCACCTAGTTTTTATTTCTTAATAACGATGCTGTTTTCTCTCACGTAATTAAAGAGGCAGGTTAGATAACTTTTGGATAAGGTCCAGAGTGACCGTTTGTTATCACACGATCCCGCTCTGTAAAAACACCTCAGCAATCAGTCAGCCAAAATACAAAATGACTCAGAACACAAACTTACATCAGAAAGCAAACATCGAAATGTTTGCCCAGCAGAACATCAACAAAAGATGTTTTCCTCTAAAAAATAAAGACGTTTAAGGATCCTCTGGATGTGATATCCCACACATGTCGCGATACATTATGAAACATGAATAAATTATTAATTTGTTAAAGGTTAGGTTAGTCAAGTTTCAAAATATGTCAGTTAACGAAAACTTATTTACACTATTATTAGTCATGGGATTTTTATTTCAACATGAAATGTCTTTATTCAATTAATTCTTTAGTTATTTATCAGTTGATGTCTAACCAGAAAATTGGCCGTGAAGTGTACCATGTAATAAGGGGTGTGTGTACATATCTAATTCCATATAATAAATATAGTTTTACTAGCTGTATTTTTTTCCCACTGAAAAATATTTGATATTTCATATTTGACAGAGGTGAAAGGGGCTGTCCAGTTGATTTGCACTGGTCAGAGCAGTTCTGGCCTCTTCATTCTGCTCAACGGAAGGGCACAGTTAGCAAATATCTTCAGAAACAAACATGGGGGTCTGATATGTGGAGAGTTCTGGACAAAGAAACGCTCCTGACCGACGTCCTTCTGCTCCCCTGCAGCCTGGGCCTCTTTTGTCTGGAGCTATGCCCGTTGGGTCCTGATGCCCCTGTTGCCCACGGTGACCGTCGCCACCAACTTCTGTCTCACAAAGCAAGTTGTTTTTACCATTGATTTGGATTCTTTTTTTGTCTGACGGCTGCTAAAATTCAAATGAGGTGCGTTCTCGGACCAATTTATCCATTTATTATTTTAAATTAATTATTTTAAATTATTTTAAATTTTAAATTATCATTCACGGATTTTTTTTTATCTCTAATGCTGACGCTCAAATTAACTGATCCACTTACAATTTTTTTTTTTTTTTTTAAAAGGAAAGTTTTTTTAATCTTTATATCTTTGCTTTTCTTTGTTATTCTGTGGCTGTTTACAAAATCTAAAACTGTTCAAATTTCCCCGGTACAATTAAGTTGGTCAGTGAAGTTTATAAAAACTATTTATTTTCTACCTCTGCCTGTTTAATGACATTTCAGATTAATTAACTGAACAATATCCAATTTTTAGCTGCATTTCAGAATACTTCCAAACCATTCCAGATAATTTCGAAATTAACTAAGCTTTTTTTCCCCTTTTCACAGTAAAAAGAAAAATCCAGCAGTGAGGTAAGACACTTATTTCTCCCTCTACAAGAGTCAGAAAGATTAATTTTAAAGAGAGCTGTGACATCACAAACCGCTCGCGAGAAAACTGGATTTTTATCTCTTTAGACATTAGAATTTTTATCTCTTTTCTTTTCTTCAGAAAGCAAACGAGCCTGGAGGGCTGAGGACTTTTTCTTCCTGGTGGCAGAAACCTTGATGTCGATGACTATCACCATGTTTAAAAAAAAAAAAAAAGTAAAAATTAAAAGACACGATCATCGTTTTCTTTCTTTTCTTTTTTTTTTTATTATGAAGAAATAAGTTTGTATTGATCGGACAAACCTAATAGAATGTTTCACACTTGTGGAAAGATGGAGCGTGTCATGAGGTGAAAAATAAATGAAGGGTTTTGTTCCAGGAGAGAAAAAAAAAACTCAAAACCAACATTTCCAAGGTGCACATCAGCAGAATTTGAAATGGTCTTCCTTTAAATTGGGATTTCAGGGACATTGTTTCCATGAGATGCACACCAATTTGGAACAAAACTCTTCACATATATATATATATTTATAGATTTATTCATTTATAGACTTTATACATTATTTTTTTGCTGTACATTTAAGTCTCATGCTTTGCTTGAAACGGTTTTTTTCAGCATTTATCCTTAAATGAGAGAAAAAAAAAACAGTGTTCAGGATTAATGCTGCATAGTTACAACTTTGGAGTATCAAACCTTATTTCTTTGTAAACCCACAGAGTGACCAGTGGGCGTGTGAGGAGTGAAAACCTGTTAAATCTCCAGCCTGAAACACGCTGTCGGGGCTCTGGGGGGCTTTAGATGACGGTGCGAGTGGTGGAAGACGCGTCTCGGTGGGCCGGTTTGGGCTTCTGGACGCAGGGGGGCCTCGGGGTCAGCGGGCGGTCAGCAGATTTCCCCCTCAAAAAAGCCTCAAAAAACGCACAACCGGACCGTTTCGAAGCTTCAAAGTTCAGAAACGCCAACGGCCCGGACCGGCAGAAATATGCATGATTAATTTTTCTGGGCAGTCTGAACACAAAAGTACCACAAACAAACAAACAAACGCACAAACAAACTAAACAAATCACACGAGGGGAAACCCTGAAGTTTTGCGACGACACAAAAGGCAGGCAATAAATAAGTGAAGAATAAAAGATGGACACGATCTGGGGGACAGCAGCGTCCTTTAGAAGGACCGCTCTGGAGAGGAAATATTTCCTGAGAGGAAATAAAACAAAAAAAACATGGTTGATGAGCGTAGCGTTTAACGGGGACCTCATGACGGGCTTCAGGGAGGCTGCACATCCACCGAAAACGAAAAGAAAAACAAACGACAGCCAACAATTTACAGTAAGAACACTTAGAAGGGGGACAGCTGCACGTCAGTTTCTTGTGTTGACTTTTAAGGCAATGCAGGGAATGGGAGGAGAATCTAACTGGGGAGTGAATGGGGGGGGCTCATCAGCTAATATTAAATAAAACACAAAAAACCCACAAAAAAAACAGTGATCCTGTTCATGTTTTTCCATTATTTGCTACGACTCCATTTTTTATTTAACGAGCGAGTTGATGGAATTTCAAAGCCATCTAAGAGAGAACAACCCGCCCCCCCCGTGGCGTTTTTTCTACCAATTGTTTTAAAGCCTGACATGCAGATATGGGCAGATATGTCAGTTGTGAGCATTAAAAACATATGTGAGCAGGATTTCTCGGTCCCGGTCCGGAGATGTAAACGGGACCGCCGCATGCAAAGGAAAAGTTTCCCAGAGTTTCCAAAACTGAACTGAAAACGGAACCTGGGGGAGGAGCTGACCTGTGGCCTGTAAACGGCAAAACGCCCCAAATTCAACACGTTCGGGGAGTCCTCCTTTCTTGTTTTTTTTTTTCTTTTTTTACGGCTGTAGAAATCCTGTAAACAGATTCCGTCGTGCAGAGTTGCGGGTTTAAAAAAAAACAAAAACCTGACCACAATTGGCATGGAAAAGGAAAAGATGTGAAGATGTCCTGGACATTTAAAGGTGGGAGAAAGACATCAGAAAGTGGGAAAGCTCTTGCAAACGTGATGAGCTGGATGATGAGCTCTTGGAGTGACAAAAAAAAAACCCTTAAAAGTCTAAAACAAAAATCTTAAAATCAGTCGTCTTATTTTTTCCACGAGCCATTCCAGCCAACAGGAGGGAGAGAGATGATGAAGGGACGCCGTGGGGGGGTTCCGGGAGTCAGAGTGCTCTCAGTTATTCCCCCTGACCACTGTTCAGGCCTATTTACAGCCACCTGTATAAGTCCAGGCCCAGCCGGTCTGCAGCCTCTCTCTCATTGGTCGGGATGGAAGCTGGGGCAGTTCAGGAAGTGGCGCGAACAGGAAGTGGAGGCCTTGATTTGAACCTGGGTGATGTGGGTAGTGTATGGCTTAGAAAACGCTGCCTTATGCACACACACACCTCAGGGAAGGAGTTAAAAAGAAAAAATGAAAAAAACCCCTTTCTTTCTTTCTTTTTTGTTTTTAAAACAATGACTCCACTGGCAGCAGGTCCAGACCAAAAGAGGAGCTCTTATAGTTCTTCGTAGTCGCCGTCCTCTCTCTTCACCGGTTCCGACCCTCCGCCCAGGAAGTCCTCCAGCTCGTCCACCTCCGTCTTCTTGGGCCGGGGCTTCTTCTTCTTCTTCTCCTTTTCGTCTGCCGCGCCGCCCTCTTCTTTCTCCTTTTTCTTGTGTTTGTGTTTTTTCTTGCTCTTGTCGTCCTCCTGGAAGAAAAACAGCGACATAGTTTTTAGCCCTTAAGCTTTCATACCTACATTAGGGACGTCTCGCTCCAGCTTTTTGCTCTTCCGATCCCGGCCTATCAGAGCATTTATTAAAGTCTAAAGTTAGTTATTTATCTACTTACTGAGTTGTCAGACTCATGTTGAACAGGGATTTACTCTGATATCAACTTAATGGTTAGGGCACAGACCTGTGGGTCAGGAGATGCTAATGCTCGTGTGGGATCGGACTTAAATAAAAAACTGGATCAGGAGTCTGGATCTGCATTTTCTCCTACTGCCCGATACGCATTTTTTTGCAAATATCGGTGGCCGATCGGATCAAAATATCGAATCGGGACAAGCCTAACCTACATATTGTACATATTGTACTTACCTATTATGTACTTCTTTGTTATGATTTAAATTTGTTATTCAAATTGTCCAGTGGCGCTGGGATACCAGGTTAAATTCCCGTGTAGGTTGAACATTCGGCCAATAAAGCAATTTCTGGTTTTAATCTACATCCTCCACCGGCTAACGGCCGGCCAGCAGCAGGGTTTGAGCCACACGGGCAGAAAAAACTGCGTTCTGGTTTGACCGGATGGCCGGGCCCTGTGAATTGGGTTTATTTTACCTCCTTGCTGCTCTTCTTTTTCTTCTTCTTCTTGTCTTTGGAGGAGTGTTTGCTTTCTTTTTCTGAAAGAGAAGCGGATACAGAAAACATTATTCTGAAGGGCTATAAGGATGGGTTTTCCAAAATCTGGGATTAAATTCACTGATGTTGGACAGCACAAATATGATATTCAGAGAAAGGATCAACAAAACTAAACAAAACACACATTGATTTAATATTTTGTGATATTTATGAGATTGAAAACTGAAGAAAAATGAACAAAATCGGATTAATTTCCATTTTTTGATAGATCAGCGCATTAGTTTTGGGACTGGGATATATTGGAATATTACAGTACACACATATATATATATATATATACACAGTTTCACTTTAGTTGAAACAGGTTTCAGATTTGCTTATTTAGTTAATTTAGCTTATTTCTAACTCCTGTCACATATACGTAAAATAAAAGGACCTCAGCATCAGATCCAGAGTGGAGTCGGGGCTCAGAATGGATCTTTTACCTTCCGGGTCCTCGCTGCTGTCCTTCGCAGCTGGGGGCTCCTCTTGGAATCCCAGGCCGAACAGGTCCGTGTCGTCCTTGGGTTTGAAGGAGATCAGGGTGGGCTTCAGGGGTTCAGGGACCTTGGCCAGATGCGGGTCGTCGTCCGAGAGGTCGGACAGGAGCTCGTCTCTGACGGGGAACGTTTCCTGAGAGGAAAATAGAGATGTTAAAAAAAAAAAAAAAAAAGAACAACAGAAAAACGTGAGGGAGCGGCCCACGCACAGCCCGGTTTTCCTTCCCGGGTCTCCGGTCTGCTTCACCTTTGGAATTTTGGGCGTGTCCGAGGCCTCCGACTCAAAGTCGGGGTCGTCCATGACGAAGGAGAGCATCTGCTGGGCCACGGGGGCCTCGGGGTCCGAGTCCGAGTCCTCGGCTTTGGGGGTGCCTCCCTTCTTTTTGCCCGGCTGCCGGGCGGGCTGCTCCGAGGCCGGCGTCAGCGTGAGGGAGATGGGCTGGCTTTTGGGGTCCGGAGGTTTGGACGCCGCCTTTGGCTTCAGGAGATGGATCACAGGCCTGAAAGAGGGTGATCGAAGGCTTAAAGGCAGAACATATTCTGACCATTTGCTCATGGTGAGAGATACAGCAAAATGAGGTGTGAACAGATGTGTATTTTTCATAAAAAATACACATCTGTGCTGAAAAGGAGATCACCTGGTTACTGAGTTAGCCCCTCAAACTCGTTGAAAAACAAATAAAAGAAAGCATATCGACATATGAAGATTCGTCACTTAAAAAGTGCTGACTCTTTCATTTCCCTTTCTTCCAATAGCTTTTAAATGACAGAAAATAAAGTTGTATCGTCGTTGTCATCGTCTCTTCTGTGGTCTGCAGAGTTTTTTTGAGTGGTTGGATCTCCCGGAGAGTGGGATCGGGATATTGTGTGGCCCCACGTGTGTGAGATTAAACGACGCAAAGAACAACTGGGCCAGTGTGTGCGTTGCGTTTTTAGCCTGAAAGTGGGGCGATATATAGCGGCTTAGCACCTGAACGGCACAGAACTTTGGGTGGAGCTTTGAAGTTTGAGCAAGTTTGAGCTGCCCTCAGTGGGAACTGAACCACTGCTGACTGGAGGGGACAGAAAAGCTTTCCTAAAAAGACATACTTGAAGAAAAAAAGGGTGCATAAAAAAAATAAAAAAAAGAATATGGAAATCAGGAGATTCATGAGTTAACCATAAATCCATAATTCCAACTTAAACTTAATGAGAGAAGAAACGCCTTTGGCCATAATGAGAAGTTCAGGGGTTGCTTACGCTTTGAGCTCGGGCTCACTGTCCAGATCCTGGTCCTTAGTGACCGTGGGGACCGCTGGCTTCGGCTCCTCCTCCTCGTCGCTGGTCAGAGTGACATCTTTTGTGCTCTTGGCCGGGGGAAGGCTGGGCTCCGTGTCGTCGGGGTCCAGCTCGTCTTGGAACCCGGACACCATGGGGTTCCCTCGATTTTCACCATCACTGAGACAGCAGAAAGAAGAAAAAGACGGTTTCCCCATTAGCCGTTTCGCCATATTGCTGCTGACACACATCACTTTTCTCTGTGTCTGTAATGTAAATAGGATGCTAACGCACAGGGTCCATGTGCCAGTGTGAAGCTGTTGAGCTCAATAATATCCGGCGTACATTTGAAACTTTCTGAATGTAATAAATGTGATAACAAATGCAAAAAAGAATTAATAAGCCATTCATAAAAGCATACTACCAAAGCTAACATATGTTTTTTAACACCTTCTTTTTACCGTTTCTTTTTTAAAGAAAAAAAATAGACATATGGGTGGAATAAAAGGGAAAAAAACTTTTTTTTTTGCCATGTGTCTATTAGAAAATCTTGTCTTTTTTCCTTAATTTCCTTGACCGATGATCTATCAAAGTTATTTCTTTTTTTCTTTTAATTGTCATGAGCATCATGTTGTCTTTGAATTTCGTCCAGCCTATCCTTTTCTTGTTCGTAGACCTCTTTTTTAGCTTTTTTTACCCGTCATTGCTCTAAGTTTTCCCCTTAAGAACATCCCACAGAATAGCCTGTGTGATCCTCCATTATCATAGGTAGAATTTTGTCCTTCTTTTACTCTTCTATCAATTCTTTGTTATTTCGTATTCCAGTGTCTAATCTCCACAATGTATTTTTCATCAGCTAACATATCAATTATTGTAAACCTTTCCTCCCCCTCAATGGGGACGCATAATGTTTTTCTATCCTATTTCTGTCACGTAGCATTAATAAGGCAAACGGGACACATCCCTGACCGGCGTACCTGTCGCTGTCCCCGGCCGTAGCTGTGGACGGTGGTGGAGCCGCCCTGCTTTTGGAGGGCAGGCTGTCCTCCAGGAAACTCTTGTCCAGTCCTTCATCCGGCACAAAGTCGTCCACGCTCTGCACCTTAGCGGCCGGACACGCCGGGGCGGGGGCGTCCTCTGGGGAGAACATTCAGGGACAAAAGCGCTTGTTTTGAGCAAACTCGCAAAAAAGATAAGAAAAGAAAAGTCGATCTTGATCTTTACAAACGTTCAAAAAGCTTCCGGCCGTGCGTTTGCTTTGCAGTGACGCCGAAGGTCCTGTGAAAGAGCCAAATCACATGACATTCCAACACCAGCCAGTTTCTTTTGATCCCTCCAAAAGCGCTGCAGCTCTCAAGCTCTAAGTCCCACATCATGTGACTACTTAGTTACTTCAGTTCAGTTATTTAAGAAAAAAACAAAAGGTCACAACTTTGAAGATAAACACGGATTTTCTTATTTTGTCGGTTCAAATAAGAAAGCTATCATTATGTTTTGAAGAAGTAAATGTAATATTTCACGGGGAGCTTACACACACACACACAGACATAAATACGCACTGCGAGACCACCAGGGTCTCATCTGAACTCCTAAGAAAAAATTCAAATAAAAGCCATTATTCCATAAATCAATTTTAATCCTCAACCGAAGAAATGTTTTCGACCGTTTCATTTTTTGCACGGCATCCGTAGGGGAAAAAAAAGTCTTAATGTTTTAAAGATGGACACATCTTTAATGGCTTTCGTCTGAACTGATTTCATTATTTGTTAACTGGAAACAAGGGAGGTAGGTGGACCGGAGAGGAAATGGCGATCTCGATCAGGCAAACAGGAAGCTCGTGTGACACGACTTTTGTTTATCTGATTCTTCTTCTGATTTTCATGCCTATCAATTGACTCATTTAGCCGTAAGCCAGCAGCTGAATAGCATATCTGATTGGAGCCAGTAGCTACATCTTTAAAAAAAAAAAGACCATACGTTTTTAAATAATAATTCGGTATTTCTGTGAAGCTGAATCCAACAGATTTTCAGCTCTGTAATCGTATTCAGTGATTACTTTACATTTAAATCCTGAGGCGGAACTGCTAAGACCACTGCTCCGTAAAACACAGTGAATTCTGTATGAATTTAAATCTTAGCATTAGCATTAGGACTTTTTATCCTCTAATACCGATAACGACATCGAAATGATTACAGTAATATACTCTGTGCTAATAAATACTGTGCATTTGATAGATTGATAGATGGATTAGATAGCTGAAAACTTATCAGTAGTAGCTATTTGAAAAAAAAAATTCTGATATACATTTAATCTAAATAATACAACTAATCTATTTCGTAAGTGTGTATGTTTAAGACTGAATTAAGATTTTTCCCACTGATTTTTTTGTGTGTGTGCCTATCTTCATATATAGGTCCTGACCCTTTATTACATGATAACATCCCTAATATTGCCTTTGGCACCATCCACATATGTAGAGGGATTTGAATGTCAGCTGGGATAGGCTTCACCTGTCCAAACTGCTGAGTCATGAAATGTGTCATTTATTTTTTTTGGAGCAATTTTGTTCGGAAAAACAACCGAACAAATGTGAGGATGCGATCCAACAGGCGGGGCCTTCAAGTGTCGTGTTCGGAGGGGGGGGGTCAGACTCACCCGGCGTGGAGGCGGCGGCGTCGGCGGGGGAGGAGCCGAACCAGCGGGAGATGAAGCTGCGCTTCTGGGGGCCCGGGCCCCCGGGGGCCTGCTGGTGCTCGGGCGACTGGGCGGGGGGCTTGGCCTCGGCCGTGGGCGACGCTGCGGCGGCGGCGGGTCCGGCCGGCGGCGGCGGGGGAGGCGGGGGGGAGGAGGCGGGCGCGGACGGGGACTGGGGAGGCGCCTGGCTGAGAACGGCAGCGGGCTGCGGGGTGCTGGGGCTGGAGCTGCCGGTGGAGGCGCCGCTGGGGGGGACGACGGGGGACTGGGAGCCGGACGAGGGACTCTGACCGTTGGCTGGACCCGGCGAGCCGTAGCCCTTGCTGCGGGACTCCAGGTTCTCCAGGAAACTGCAGCAACCACAGCAAACTGTCAATAACCCCATAAAACTACATTTATCGAGATTCAAGAAAAATAATCTGTGTGTGTGCTATTTGCTTCCTAAATCTGTGTGAGAACAGCTGGACAATGGAAGCACAGGCAAAGCGTGTGTGTGTGTGTGTGTGTGTGTGTGTGTGTGTGTGGAATAAGCGGTACAGCAAATGGATGGAGGATAATGTCCCTCTAGTGGCTGTTCGGGTGCAGTACAAAAATAAAGGAGGTAAAAGACTCTACATCTCATAGTTCTGATCCTCCGTTTCCTGCTGGACCGAGAGCTCCTCCAGGGTCGCGTCCATGTCCAGCTGGTTGGTCTCCAGCTGCCTCAGGAGGGTCTCTCTCTGCACGCGTTCACACACAAATATTCAGATTAAGATTTGACAAGTGTGGTCTCACACTAACTGATAGAAAGAGAAGATAATTTAACTGTTACTGAGATAGAAATGATGAAAGTAAAAAAAAAACGAAACAACAACCTGTAGCTGAAGGAAGGGGATGTTGAAAAATCTGTGAAGATACTTCAAGCCGAAGCCGTTTTTCATGGAGGATTCGGCGTAGTGGATGTAAGACGACCCCATCGGTCTGTGAGAGACAAGCATTTAAAATCCAGGGGAAAATCCTCCCAGTAGCAGCTCCCTGCTGCTGGTGGGCGGAAAATCAGGCGCACAGGCCCGAAAACGCTGCACACTCAGGCTTTAAAAACACAGATACTTTCTGATTTTTTTTAAACTCCCCCCAAAGCAATCCTAAAAAGAACAAATGAAAACAGTTGGTACAAAAAGATGACAGATAGCCTGGGATTGTGCATTAAAAACAATCCTTTTAAATGCTCACACACTAGCACTACACTGTTTTTACAGTGAGTGTTGCCATGCATTTCTCACATTATGAGTTGGAAGTCGTCTCAGACACAGTCTCAGAATAAAACCTGAACTCCCAGTAAGGATATTCATGTGCTTAACAGCTTTGGATTGAGAAAAGTGTGATAGTATATGCATTTTAATCTGGTTGAAGGAGGAATTAGATCAGAAATAACAGCAACGATGAGACAAAGCGATGAGTCCGGACTTCTCCAGGGCTGGGTAGCTTACCTGTTCAGTCCTGCTATGAGGTCTCTGATGTCGTCGGGCAGGATGACGCGGTGCTCCCCCATGTCCCTGTGGTTCCCCAGCAAGCACACGGGCACGTGGGTGGGCACTTTGGGCAGCTCCTTCAGGATGTAGCTGAACGTCCTGTAGCCAGAGGCATCACAATGCAAGACAAAGTTTCGGGCTTTGGGAAGAAAACTTCTGCATAGTCGCCACAAAAAGAGAGGATTTTTTTTTGGTTTGTTTATATGTGATGATGCATGCTAATAAAATCAAATAAAATCAGGGATAATGCTAATGGACCTCTGCGCCATTTGGAGCGTGCTGAAGCAGGATATTGTCAAATGTATTTTCAAATCGTTTTGCACATCGGAAAGTGTCACATAACGTCATAATTTGAAAATGGGTATAGTGGTTCCAGGACATGAAAAGGAGCCCATTGGCTGAGGTGACGGCTGCACGTCAGAGCTGCTCCCACAGACAAATAAAAGGAGAAAAATGCTACTTTCAGCCAAGGGGTTGCCTACATTTTCCCCTGCAGCAACTTTTAAATGAAACATATATTTTTTTGGTTTATAATCATTTGGAATCTTCCAGCTTTTTAACTGTATGTCTCACCAGAATCTTTTACAGCTGCGATTAATATTTCCATTCGACAGATTTTCGAGGACAATTACCCGAAAAATGGCTGGAATACCTTTCCAAATGACCTATAAAAATGTCCTAATTCCTTCCTTGGGATGCTCCGAATGGGACGGTGAGATAGGCTTATGAGGCGTCAACCATGAAGCTCTGGGCTTCACGGCCACAGGAAGTAAAACTGGAACCGTGACGGCTCATGTGTGAAGCAGCATTTAATTCGCTGACACACACACACACACACACACACACACACACAGAGGACCTCTTACCACTGTTTGGTGATGTCGAACATCATGATGACCCCGTTGCAGTTCTTGTACACGTCCAGGAACTCGGCATCCAGGGCCACCTCGTCTGACTGCCGAGACCCAAACCGACATCGCCATTAGAGCGTTAGACCGTTAAGGCACACATTTTTCACAATTCTCCTCAGCCGAGGGCCTCGCTCCCCCACTGACTCATGAGCCTAAACACATGACAGCCATGGGATAGTCACCTCTTGAGGCTCGTTCTCCAGTTTCAAGTTGTCCCCGCGCCGTTTGCCTTTGCCTGAAGAGAAAACAAAGAGAAGCTTAAATGAGCTGGGAAAAAAAAAGAAGATTTATTTTTACATTCCCTCCATTTGTTGCTTGATATTACTTTATGATGAACGAGGCAAGCACGGCACTTCAAACACTTTTCCTGGGGGGGGGGGTCTACTTTTGACACACCTTTACATTAAGCCAGGGCTCACATGGTGCGGATGCTGGAGCTAAAGCAGAAATATCAGCCAACTCTTAGGATGTTTGCACACTGCTAATCTGAAAACAGCCAAACCTTTAGTGTGCTGACTTTCACATTAGAGTGGGGGGGGGGGGGGGGGGGGGGGGGGGGGCAAACCCACGGCACACAAGCAGCATTCTACACTCTACGGTAGCGCTCACCTACGCCTTCGGGAAGAGGGTATTTTTGGCCTGGGACGAGTGCGAGAGAGACAACGTCAACATGGAGGAACGTGGGTACGGACAAGCACACCAAAAACAAGCCTCTCTGTGATGTGCCCGGAAAACATCTCGCATGGCAACGTGGCAGAAGTAGAAAAGGAGCAGAAAAAGGCACGACCGGCGCGAACGTCCACACTCACCTTTGTCCACCACATCCCACACCTCCACCTTCACCACGTCGTCGGTAGCTGAGACAAACAAGAGACGGGGTCAGTTATCAAGGCACGTGCACTGAGAACAAACTGACCTACAAACTGGCCTGTTAAGGGACTAAACATGGATCTACTGTCTAAAATACAAAGTGGTAGTAGCGGCAAAAGCTCGTTTGAGTCAGAAGCACCCACGGACGTTCTACAAAAACCAGTTAGCTCGGGCTACTCTGAGAGGTGGCTCTTTTTTTTACCTTGATAGGGGGCCACTGAAATAGAGCGTCAGGCAGAAACAGCACGTGTCAAAACACTCATGGAAACAGAACTGTTCAGAGAAAGGAGCGTTGTGGGTTGGAGATGGTGGGACTTACTTTTGTAATTCCAATGAATGCTTGTGACCTGGATCTCCTGAGTGGGAATGTACTCCTCCACGAACTTCTTGCCCTGCAGTCGATGCCATAAAGTGCTCTTCCCGGTATTTCTGTCTCCCCGTATGACGATTTTCACTAGCGGGGGAAAAAGACATGAGGTTGTGGTGATACGGTCTGGACTACGGGGTCATGTTTGAGTTGGATATTTAGGACAGGGGCGTGTGACATATTTCTTACTGTTGTACTGCACTCCTTTGGCAAAGCGCCTCTGCAAACTTTGGTTCATGGACTGCAGGCCGGCGGGAATGTTTTTGTCCCTGAGCTGCCCGGGCTCGGACCCCACCAGCTTCTTCAGTGCCGAGAACATTTTCGGGGGCCTCGGCAGCTTGAGCGTCACAGAAGAGGGACAAACTCCACCTGACGGTTCCACAGGTGGTAACGGAAGGGAAAGTGTAACAGTGGGTCCTGAGGCCTGAGGAAATTATGGGTCCATGCTTAGAGGAAATATCAGCTCGAGTCACTGAGGGTCAATTCGGAGTGGAACTTCACTTAGAGTTGACTTTCTGGCCAGTCAGGAGTGAAAAATCACCATGTTGTCATGAGCATTATCTGTAAAATAAACACATTTTAGGTGATTAATCCTTTAAAAGGGCCTTTTAAAAATGAAGAAATTACATTTAGCTAAATTTGACCACCATAAACTTACACAATTCTTTTTTTTAAATATATATCCAATAGTTCTAATATTCATTTAAGGGGTACGATAGCGTACACAGCCTGAGTAAATGAAAATAATCAGTAATGGAAAGGCACCAGCCACCTCAGAGCGCTATACAAAGTTTGTCGGGTTACACTACCACAAAAAAGGTTGTGGTGAGTTTGCATCATACTCTTGGACCAACTTTGATGAACAATGGCTGACGAAATAGAACATTTTTAAAATGTTCCTCATAAAATTGATCGATTCTCGAACTGTAATCGAGACTGACTCAGTATAAAGACACATTTAGTGTACCAGGTATTTTAAAATAAAGGATATTCTTGTTCTATTTTACTCTACTATCTGAAAATAAAAAGGGACTTAACAGGAAATGAAAGCCATCAAACATGCTGCTTTCTGTGAATTTGCTTATGTCATTTTTATGTGATGCATAAGATAGGAAAATATATTCAAACATTACTACTGATGTGAATCAGACAATAGGGGAGGAGAATAATGTTGAGTTAAATTCAGAGCCCTACACAGAGGACTTTGTGCACAACCACACCAAAGAGACATAACACAGATTAGGCTGTATTGCTATTTTTATACTAAATAGACGTGATAACGGGAACAAAATGAAGTCATTGCTGTTCAGCACCTGAAGAAAGCAGAAGAAGAAAAAAAAACGGCCAATCTGCTAAACCTCCAACAAAAGCAGGACAATGCCAATATATTGTCTTCTTGGCAAATCCTCATATGACCGGGTCCACTGTCCACTCTCCTCAAAGAATGAGGCATGACACAATATAGATAGTCAGCCTCAGTTCAGTCAAATCGACTCTGTGTTACTGAATTCAAGTCAGACTAGTAGTATTAAGTATACAGTAGATATATGCTTACATATTGCCCGTCCAGAAAAAGTCAAACTAATATTTAGTTGGACCACCTCCAGGCTCTGAAGACCACTGTTTTGGATCGACATGCCGGATCCAAATGAATGCAATATTAGGAGCCAAGTGCAGATCTTGGCAATACTTTGAAACAGATAAAAAGAAAAAAAAGTCTTTTTTTCCTTTACTACTGAGTCCAATCTTTTTGCTACCTGCCAATTAAAGCCTTTGATTTATTAATGAGGTTTAACTGTTTTTTATCATCTGATCTCACCAAATGTTTAAGCTTTTCCTGATTTTGAATGTATATACGTACACACAAATTGTATACATTCATGTATACACATTTAGGTCTTTTTTTTTGTTGCAAGAACCCCCAGAAAACTATATTAGTTGTTTGACTAAATCCAGCTCTATTTTGTAGCATAGCTGTCACTGGCCTGTAAGTAGGACATTTATATTCTTATTTTATCTTAATGGAATGTTGTTATTGTTCTTTTTTTTTTTCAAAAGCACATCCTTTGTTCTCTGCAAAGCACTATCAATCATCCCGTAGTTGGAACTATTTTACACGGATAAATCTCCCATGGCCAGCTTCTATTTTTACGCGTAAAACTAATCCAACAGAGGAGTTAGCAGAGTCTCCCATTAATGTTAGACAGAAGCTTATCCCACCACTTCTCATTTTTAAAACAATCCCAATTAAACGCCAGTTTTTCAGCATATCTGGTCAATGTTGTGTTAATACAGCATCTTTTTTATTGTGCTTTTAGTGGGCATATTCCTCTTGCAGATAAGGTGCTAGCGTTAGCCTTAAATGCTTTTCCATATATGCCCATACAAAACAAAAGCGCTAAACCTTGCTCATAAAAATTAAAGTCAATTAATTACGTAGTATGCCGAGATCAGTGCACCTTTTAAAGAGTGATGAAGCAGCCTGGGTTACAACCTACTGTTACCCTAGCGGAAAAGGTAACGTTATCCCCAGGCTCAATTTTAGCTAGCCTCTCCAGGAGATGTTAGCCTAGCGTCTCCCATTGAGAGCACAATTACACTACACGGTAGCGGGTTCAAATTAGCTCAGCAACGGTGGCGGGAAATACTCACAGTTATTCAATAAAATCACAACAGGCGCTCCAGGCATCTTTTCCTCAAAACATCTGTCAAACATCCATCTCTACGGAGAAGAAGCGGAGCGGGTAGCTGCCACATTCCTTCGCAAAGGCAGGCAGCGGCTCCCAGTGCTGACGGTAAGTGGGAGGAAGAGAGGAGCGACTTCCGGTTTCAACTATCAAAAGAAAACTTACATTTACATCTTTTTTTTTTTTTTTTACAGCAACATAAATATCATAACAAGTTACGTATATAATAATGGAATGCCCTTATCACAGCAACATTTTTAGTTCTAGCAAAATACTTTTATTTAAAATAGTCCGTTCACCACTGTTTACTTTATCAAATTATCACCTTTGACAATCATTTGCTTACAATTTGGATTGATTTTGATTTGATGCTCACGTTGTGATCATGCATATAATTCCTTATTAGCCATTATTCCAAAAGGTTTAGCAGTTGGCTGATCTGAAGAATTAGTTTGCTGTCGGTATCAATCTTTCTGAATATACTCACAAGAAAAGGACATTCACAGTTGTTGCCAATCTTGAAGACAACGTCCCAACTAGCTAGGGAAAGGATCAGACTGTACAAGAAATTAGAGAGAAATGAAAGATGCATAACTTGAAATCTAACACACTGGAGACCCCAGACATCAAATTAGATCTTGTATTCCTGGCTGTATGTTCTGATAAATTTTAATGTTGCTGGAAGAAAGGCTAAAAAAAGGCCTCACTGTGCCAACCTGTAACTGAACAATCCAGAAACCTTGTAGGACTATGTCCTTTGGAGAGAGAAGTGCAAAGTATAGATATCTGCTGGTGATGCATCTGCTTGGTAGAAATAGGGGAAGCTGTGGCATACAGCACAGACATTCCCCCCCATCATTTGCACTTGATTTCATGAATCTGGAAACATCCTGGCCAAAAACCGAATGAGGATCTTTGTTCCCATTCAGCATCACTGTTTCAAAACAAATATTGAAAAGTCTTGTAAAAGTGTATAGTCCTTAAATCACTTCCATAAGTCGTTGTCTACAAACACAGGTCCCCGGTCAAGCAACAAAAGCTGTAACAGTTATCACTGAAGTCTTTAGAAAAAAGGACAGGGATCAGTTGTCTGGCTATCTGCACTCAGTTAAAAAAAACTGCATCTCTGATGATGTTGGGAGGCATTAGAACACTTAGAACCAGAAATTTACACATGTGTTAAAAAAGGAAAAATATAAATGCACAAATATATCATGTGTAAGAATGGAAAACATTTATATCCCAAAGATAGCAAGTTATCATCTCAGGTTTCAGATGTTTCTGGGCATTTCTTGAAAGAAGAGGGAATGATTTCACAGTTGTAACATTTTCCTTTAATTATATTTTAAAAAATATATGGCTGGCATAATTTCTCACATTCTATTCAACCATTCATTTTCGAGATCTCTTTATTCCAATTCTATCTCTGCTGGGATTGGATGAGAGGTATGACACACCCTGGACAGAAAAGGCTTAAACACAGAACTGCATTCTGATTTGATTTGAATCTTTCCAGCCCTTTTTTATTTGGAAAAAGGAATTAATTAGGTCAACATACGGGTTTAAGAAGCTCTTATTGTGAAGTAAAAGGATGTTTTGCTGGTTGGGACAAAGAAGCTTCCTCTCTCTCAGGTTCCTGGGGTGTTAATCTGCTGCCCACAGTTTTGGGAGAGGGTAATCTAATGAAACGTGAATACACTGAATAGCATTAAAGTGGATGCAAACGGACACATTGTTCAGGAGATACATTACAGTTGTATCACTTCAGGCAATTAACATGTTAATTAACATAACGGATTATACTGTGTTTTACATGAAAAAAACATCATGGAGGAGAATCTTTGTTTCTTAATCTTAAAGAAATGTAAATTTCTGAGATACATTTTGGCATTTTGTCACTTTAGAATAATAAAAATAACATCTACTGTATTATACACATCGATTAATATAAATATACAACCGCTCACTGAGCATTTAGATAAAATCATGGTGTATTCCTTTGGCACTGCATCAAATAAATGGGGATAGAAAAGTTTTTTCCAAGTACCTATGCATAAAAAATCAGAATTTATCTAAAAGAAGTTCCTGCTATTTTCCTACTTCTGCATCCTTTGAAAATGGTAGTAGAAAAAAACTTTGATCTCCTTTTTAATTGTTTTTTAATTACCAATATTAAATTGTATCTAACTCAATTCATAAAAACTCTGTTTTCAATGTCTTTTTGTCTAAGAAAATAAGGAAATAATTGGAGAAAAACTCTTGAGGCCCCAATTTGGCTTTGGGGATTACATTATTAGTAAGTAGGGATCTATTAATATGCTGACAATGCTCCACCTACGTCTCTGCTGGCAGTTTTGAGCTGCTACCAAAGTTTCTGCCATCTTTTCAGAGCAGGCCATGCTCATACTTTAAATGATTAAATACTCTCTGATCATTGCTGTTACCTGAAATTCAAAGCAACATGAACCAAACACCCCATGTCTCAAAAATCCACCTCTCTTCTGACATTTTCTTCTTGTAACTTGCTTTTGTTTTAATTCCATCAGCACTCCACTTTTCAAAAGATCTCCAGCATGTGGTAACTGACCATTCTGCTCCAAAGAAGCATATCTGCATGTTTTTATTTCATTAAAGCAGACATTTCGGTTCCATTTAAGCACTCTTTGTTAGTTTTGGAAGAAAATCCACTTTGGACCAGGGTGGAGCGTTGCTAAATGTTAGGAAGACAATTCAAAGTTAAAACATTTGCTGAAGGCTCAAAATAAATCCGACAGTCAATCAGACAGGGTTCTGAAGAACTGTTAAGATTTCAGCCTTGATAACCTTCTTAATCCTTATCTTCACATTAAAAAAAGTAAAAATCTTTAACCAGTAGTTTCTGTAATCAGCTGGTATTTGATCCTTTTGATGAAATTAACATGGGAACTTTTTTTGCAAGCTGTTAGTTTGTTCCATTGCGATACAAAAGAATGGAGCAGGCAAAAAATAAATGGACATGGAAATCTTTATGTTTTTACTTCATTTAATCAGATGAAAAAAATAAAATCCTCTGGTTAAAGTTACCTTTTTTGTATTGATCATCTCTTACTATGAAGCATTAAATGTATCTCAAGATAGGTTTGTGAATATGATAGTTTATAAGATTACCACTTTTCTTATATATATTATTTTGATAGAATTTGAATAACTTCATAAGGTGTTTTGTCAGGTCAGAGTTAAAACAAGCAGACAATTGACTCCTTTTTTTCGTAGTCCTAAGAAACACGGTTATACTTACAGTACAGTTTGGGGACTAAAGTAAATTACAATCAGATGATGATTTAGAAAAACCTACAGAACACCGATCACGTAGCAAGTTCATTTCTTTGCCCTTTATGTTTTCTGTGCTGCATAAAGCAAGTGAAAACCATCCAAAAAACTTGTATGTCTTATGTGGTTTCCTTAGTTGATACTTTTGATATTTCTAAGTAAAGTTGCTTGGATATACTTATGCAAAAACATGATTTGGATGAAAGTGAGAGAAAAACAGGCAACAAGTAGATTATTATCAATAAATGCATCCCGGATTAAATTGAAATGAATCATAGATAAAAACAGGTATCATATCCAACGTTTTGCATCTAAAAACAAATTAATTGGGATGACAAGTAAAAATAACTCACTCTTGGTTAGGGTTCCTGTAGGTTCCAGTTGCACGAGGGACAAACTAGTCCTGATCCCAACCGGGTCGTGACCTGACCTGGGTTTGTGGGGTCCTTCATGCAGTTCTCCTGGTCACAAAAAAACAGAAACAGAAAAATGTCATTACAATTGAGGGCGTTTTAAGGCAATTGTGCACTTCAATTCAAAACCTTTTTATTTTATTTCGGACACGAAGTGGCACCGCTTCCTATATCCCCGCCGCTGTGGAGGTCCTCCCGGTGTTTTCCAGCCCTCCGCAGCTTCCTGATGCTGCTGATGCCCACGCGCTCGCTCTCCCGTCGGGAGCCTCGCGCGGCATCCTCAGCTGGCACGTGAAAAAACGCCCGGGTCCGCGCGCGCCAGGGAGCAGATATCGCCATGGGTTCGTAGCATAAGCAAGCTATACACGTCTTAATAAACCTGTGAAAGAGCAATGAGTGGCGCTTATTTCGAAAATGACACCCGGCGGTGTTCGGTTATCGTGAACACACCCCGCTGAGCCCCCCGATATTGTTCAAGGGGGGATAATGGCTGCACACGAGCCGTCTCCACCATCGTCCCTGGAAGGCAACAAACCGGGCTTCCCCAAGAAAATTCTGGGGAACAACCTCGAAGACAAGCATTTGTGCAACTCGTGTCAGAAAATTCTGCGAAGGCCCTTGCAAGCCCAGTGCGGCCACCGCTTTTGTTCGTTCTGTTTCAACAAAATTGTGAGGTGAGTACCGAGCTACTACCGAGCTAGCTAGACGGAGTGTAGCCCGAACGAAGGGTTCTCAGCTCGTCGCCGAACTTCATTCACTTATTAGAGATTTTTACGGTGACCTTCGTATTGTCACGCGTAAGGCTAAATGTGGTTTATGATAAGTAGTTATACACAAGACTATACGGATAACTGGACGTGAAGGCAACACGCCATCATTTTCTCATAGGAAATAAACCCCCAGAAGTGATGGTTTATTCGTGTGTCCTCGCGTCAGCCCCGTTAACATACGCAGGCTGGGTTTATGAGCAAGCGTCGTAAATTTGGGATAAGTTGAACCCAACACCCGACCTAAAAGTGTCACCGGGTCGGTCGGTGTGCCGAACACACCAGAAGGTCCGACCACTGTTTGTCTTCACATTTTCCCATTGTGTACATTTAGTAAACAGTCAAACTGCTCTAAAATGGACGCTTTTTTATTTAGAATTTGGGATGACCTTAACGGCCAAGACAACAAAAACACGGGTTCTGAGAAATGTCGTTTGAGTTTTTCGTTGTTTTTGTTTTCTAAGGAATTAAATAGATTAAACATAATGGTAACACGATAATGGGGGCATCTAGAAATGGTTTGGATGGATTTGTCTTCTGAAATGTTACCTATAATGTTGTGACGGCGCAGGGAGCGCAGGCTCGGTGATGAGATCACCGCTTTCCTCTGGTCAAAGTGCGCATGTGCACAATGAAGCAGACTGAAAAAATGCATTTAAGTCCAAATTAGCTTCAATTAACCACCGAAAACATAGATGTAAGATATATATTTTATATAAATGCTAAGAGAAAATACGTCGTATGCAAGAGCAAGTTGCCCAAGTCCAACAGTTGGGATGAAATCACTGTATTCTGAAATTCCTGAATGAAATGAATAGAGGATTCAATGTATCAATCAGTAGGAACAACAACAACAACAACAACAAAGCTTTTGAGTAATATTCAAACAGTTTTAGTCTGAATTCTAAGCATTCATTTTAGGCACAGCTTGTAGAACCAATAACGTTATGACCCTAAATTGTGGTGATGGTCCTTCTCCTGTCACCAAAATAGTCCTGATAGCTTAGAGTATTTAAAGGGTTCGAGCATTTAAAGGGTTTTGTTGAGTGTCTGTTGAGTAGATGTGAAGTTTGTCTTGATATTACTGTTCTTTGAGAATTTCCAAGGCAGTGTTTTTCAGTCACACACTGCCGAATAAGAACATTGTTTTGAGATGAGCAAAATAAAAAGTATTTTTTTCACTAAAATACAAAACTCAGGCACCAATACTGCCTCCCAGAAAACAAACTTAGATAAAATTAACGTTCCTGAAATGTGACTTCTCCTGACCGAATTAACTAATGATCATTTTTGTGGCACATGTTTAGGCCAGGTCAAGACAGATGTGTAAAGCTGAATTCAGCTGTCTTAAAGATGTTAAGTATATGAAGCATGTTTTATTTATTCCTGAACATTGTGCAGGTTGTGTCACACTAACCATGGTTAGCAAGGCAGACTTTTTTTTATAAAGGAGAACGGAAATATAAAAATGAATAAGGTGTTTTAGAGAAAATGTGTTGATTTGGTCAATAGTATCAAAGATTCTGCTGTCAGAAATTCAGGACTGGTGTCATAAAACCTTGTCTGAATATATGATAAATAAATAAAGGATTAATGATGAATAAAACATGATTAATAAATTATTTTCTGATATCTATAAAATTCAAGTTTATGAATTATATATTATCTTATTGAACTGAGTGAATATTTTAATTTATTTGTGTTTTTTCCAAAGATATTCTAAATTATGAACATTTTATGTACAAATTCACATAGCTCTAAACCACAAATCTGTCTGCAGTTCGTTAACTGGACACGGAGGTCAAACCCAACGAATTTATCTAATGCTGCTGTTGTAGACAGAGAGGGTTTTATTTTATTTGATTGTCATGATGATAAAAAATTAATTTCCTTTTTTTTTTTTTCTCCATATAAGTTCTGGACCCCAGAACTGCAGCGCATGCATCAAAGAAGACCTGTTTGAGGAGCCCACCTCCATTCTCAAGCAAGGTGGTGTAAGTACATTTACCAAGCCTCGTCTTGCTTTCTTTTATCACATTTCAAGTACCAACTTGACTTTGACCATCCGCATAACTTTTTAGTCCTGGCTCCTCTACGTTTGCTCTGAGCTAAAAGACAAAGACCCTCTAAGTTCAGTGAGAAGGAGAAACAACATCCTGGTCACAACAGACACACACACACTCACACACTGGTGCACTTAAGCTTCTTTCATTCCAATATGTTTATGCTTCTCGTTTCTGCAAAGTCAGGGGTGTTTTTTGGTTTTGGCTGTGAAGGTAACTGCTAGGAAACACTTGGATATGAAGTATTTATTGCTCTGGTTGGATCTGCTCCGATGGCCCGAGACCGTCTGGCCAGCCGAATGAGGCGGGCACAAAGACATCGGTTTGGATGTCTTCACAACCAATAACACCATCCTGCACATAAGCTGTTAGGGCTACAGGGAATCGATGGTCAGCGGTGGTAGAAATCCGAATCTTTGTGGCTCTAAAAGCTGAAAACCACAAACAGACACTTGATTTTTCTTTTGTTTTGGTCTGTTTTTTTCCTAGTTTTCTCTGTACTTGATTGTAGTTTTGGTGGCTTGTTTTCCATATCCCAGTTTGTAGTTGTGTTTCCAGCTCCTGCTAATCTTCCTATAGTTTTCTTAGTAACACTCCAGTCCTGTCATTTGCTCTATAACCTCTATTTCTCTGCTATGGTAACCGCCTCGTCATCACTGGTGGGTCTTGTATTGTATCATGTTCCCGTTCCTCCTGTAGTTCAGTGTTTTGCTTTCCATCAGATTTTTGTCACCCATTCATATTTTGTTCCTCAAGTATTTTAGGATTTCCGGCCAGGTAATTCCTTCCCCCCCTCTGTTTTCTTGAATAAGTTCAAGCTTAGTTGTTTTCCATCTGCGTTCGGGTCCAACTCCTCTGTAAATCTGCCCTACATCCAGACAGATCCGAGGCTTAAAAAGGTGATTTTTTGCTGCTTTGCATCACAGACAGTAGACGGAGCAGCTACAGTCTTGTAAAGAAATTTGAGCTGGGAGAGAAAAATGAGCCCGGAGCATCTTGACCCCCCCACTGAAATGATGCAGAGCGCTTGTAACACAACCCCTCAGATTGCAACCAAACACACGTGTGCACTCACACGACACTGACAACTGTTTTAATTTCCCATGCAGGCGTTCCCAGACAATGCAGCCCGGAGAGAGGTGGAGGCTCTGGCAGCAGTCTGTCCAAACGAAGAGTGTACATGGACTGGAACTGTCAAAGAGTTTGAGGTAAATGAGTCTATTCATTTTCATGCCTCTCTGCCCTCCAAACATTAGCTCATTGCAGCACAACAATCCTACATACAGACTGTTCTTTATCAAGCAAAAATGTCTAAAGATGTGAGAATTTCCTCTTGGAATGAACCTTTCATTTAAGACTTTGGGTGTTTCTTCTTAAATGCATTTTTATTTAATTTTTTTGCCATCAAAGAAACCTTTTGTTTGCAAATTTTGCCAGCGTTGGCTAACTGTCTTGCCTCTGGTGCATGATTTTTTAAGAGGGTATAAACTGTTAAGTTCTATTTTTTTTTTGTGTGTCTTGATCTGAACTGAACCTGATTCGAACACAGAGTCTTTGTAACTTCTGGGGATTTAAAATGTTCCTTGGAGAGTTGCAACTGGTGATGATAAAACCCCCCCTGCTGTGTCTCAACACTTTGTCTGTGGCAGGTGAGCCACGAGGGCAACTGTGACTTCATGATCATCATGTGTCCTTCCTGCAAAGAGCTGATGAGAGCCAATGAGCAGGAGCGCCACAATGAGAGGGAATGTCCGGAGAGGACGCTCAACTGCAAATACTGCAAGGAACCCTTTCTGTTGAAGAACATCAAGGTCAGCGTTCTGTCCAGCTTTACGATCAGACACTGTTTACCCTGTGCCGCCTGCGTATTACTTCACCCATTTTAAAGGATAGGAAACGCTGTGGATCCCTGAGCCTGGTACAGACGTTGAATGTTTCATGTTTGTAGATATCTAATATGTTCAAGCGTTCAAAAGTCAAAGCCTCCCCTTAAGGCTTAAGTAATCTCTGACCAATATTCAAACACAAATAGTCATAGATTTTGGTCATAGTTTACACTCCTCAAACTTTAGGTGTCATAGTTGCAGCTGGAATGTCAGATGAGGACCCAAATTCAGATAAGGGACTGCTGAGATTTATAGAAAGCAAAAAGTGCTGCAAAGCCAGATGCCCAAAGCAGTAAACTGAAAAATAAACACAAAAAAACACTGAGAAAAAACAAAAAAACTGGAAAAATAACATAAGGAAGACGGGCAACAGATGAGGATCTGACAAAAAGAGAATGAACCAGAGGAGCTTATACAGAGGGGAGAGTGATCAGTAGAAAGCAGAAAAGCTGAAGACAGGGAACAGAGATTGGGAGAGTTGGGTAAACGATCAAAGAGGGAGACTGAGGAAGGTGAAGGTGGTTGAAATACTGAAAGACAAGAAATGGAGAGAGAAGCTAGAAAAACAAAAAAACACAGAAAGACAGAATATGGAGAAGAAGTGAAGCATATCGAATAGAACTAGGAGCATGGAAACAAATTGATCACAAAATGTTAAACAAAACAAAAAAACTTTTCTCATAAATCCCCAAAGTTGGATCTCATTGCACGAGAGACCTTTTGTTGAATCTTGAATAGTAAATAATTGATCAGGATTCATATTTAGATTCCCGTATACTTATTTATATTATGTAACTCTGAACCTTTCATGTATTTCTAACATCAGGAAATGTGAAGGAGCTTATAATTTAACTGTGAAAGTACTTAAACACACACTCGACTTGTTATTATTTCAGGCTCATGATGAAATCTGTCCGAAGTACCCAATGATCTGCGAAGGTTGCGCAAAGAAAAAGATCCCCAGAGAAAAGGTATCACTGCTATGGGCTTGTTTTTCCATAATTTCCTTAGAAGATATGTCACTCACATTTAGCTAGGGATCAATAAATCTACATCATATTCTATACGTCATCGGCTTCTTTCATTTTTTTTTGTTTTGTTTTGTTTTGCAGTATGTGGACCATATTAAGTTCTGCGGTAAATTTAAAACACCATGCAGATTTCATGTTGTTGGCTGCGATACATGTGTAAGTAGATATTCTTGTCATCAACTGTTATGTGTGTATCCCTGGCTGATGTCATGCGTACCTGATTGTATGATAAACCAGAAAAAGTAAAAACAATTTCCAACTTAAAGTAGCATATCCAAATTTAAAGTATTAGAAGATAAATTTTCGTACTTCAATGTGAATTAAAATTACTTAATGATTTATTATCTTCTTGTCTAAGACCAACATCAAGAGAGGGCTGTAGGGTACACTAAGAAACTATTCAGTCACCTTTTCCTGTTGGAATTCTGGCCTCATATTTGAATTAGGAGTCCTGGCTTTTCATAATCCAAGAGTCTTGAGGCTTTGAGCACCCTTGACTTTGTGCCCGTACCTCTCTGCCCGGCAGCTATGCTCCCACATAAACGCAGCTCTAAATCCGAAACCTTAAAATGGTAGAAAGTAACAACTTTAAGGGAGACATGGGGATACGGTGCTGAGCACCCTTGCCTCACAGGAAGACGGCTCTTGGTTTAAATCCCTTTTTCTTTAGAGTTTAAATGTTGTCCTGGCTTCTTGCTACCGCCCCAAAAACATACAGGTTAGGTGAACTGAACAAAGGACTGTTCAGTTCAATGTGAGTGTGGTTGTTTATCTAGGTGTGGCCCTGTGATGGACTAGGAAAACTGGTATGGACAATGAATGAAAACAATCTTTTATTAGTTAAATGAAGATTAAGTCATGAAAAAAGAATCCCCCGTTCTTCACCAACGAAGCTGGACATATAAATTATAGGAGATTAAGTAAGTAACACCAACAATATGGCTACATGTCTCCAGAAGCCATGTTCGTCTATGGGACAGAATGAGTTTTATTACTTCTCAATTTCAATTAAATGAATTTTCCGACATTTTGACTGCAGCTCTGACTCAGAGCCTGTTTTCTTTTGCTGTTTTTTTTAGCTTTGACCTGCTATTGTGAAGATAAATGTCACAGAGGATAAAGTTGAACCTGTTATCTATTGTTATCAGTCCTTTAAACACAGCTTTAAGCTTTAACCCCATGGCAAATGACCGAAGCACACCATTGTTTTTAAGGGCCACACACTATTACTCTGTCTTTTGTTTAATCAAATGAAAATGTAATCTAAAAGAATTATATGATACCTATAGAGATTATATATACTTTTCCCAATGAGCACTAGGATAGGCTCCAAACCCCCTGCTACCTGAAATTAGAATAAGAAATTTGTGGATAAAGAAGTTATTTTCTCTGTAGCAGCTCCATAGCCACAATCCCTCACCTTAAAGTGTGATTCAGATAAAAAGAAATGGAAAACAAAGAATAACCTGCTTTACCGGCCTCTGTAATCATATCTTGGTTCCAGAAACGAATGTGTTCCTGTCACCACAGGGCAGAGTGACCTGGGCAAAGTTAGCTCTGATAATCAGTTACAAAAGTTTCCGATTTCGCTTGTGTGTCTGAAGTGTTACACCGTGTCGTAACTCGGCTGAAATTAGGGTTAATTAAATTGTTTAAGAGTATCAGATTTGACTTCACTGAATACCGTCCATGAACACATTGTGCTTAAAGTAACATGCATGTTATTACACGGATATAGTTTCCATTTAACTTACTATGCAACTTCCAAAACACAGTCTTATTGCGGAGCTTTTTGCCTCTTTAGATCATTTTTAACAAAAAGGCATTTTTTCTGTTTTTCAATCCAATATTTAAACAGTAAAACACAAAAAAATACTTTGTGTACTGTGTATATAGATAGATAGATAGATAGATAGATAGATAGATAGATAGATAGATA